ATTATATCATCTGCAAAGAGTAATAGTTTTGTTTCCTCATTGTTTATTCTAATTCTTTCAATTTCTTTTTCTTCTCTTATTGCTATAGGTAGCATTTCTAGTACAATATTGAATAATAGGGGTTATAATGAGCATTCTTGCTTCACCCCTAATCTTATTGGGAATGCTTCTAGCTTATTCCCATTACATATAATTGTATCAGTATTCATCAAGGAAATTGGTCTATAGTTTTCTTTCTCTGTTTTGACTTCTCTGGTTTATGTATTAAGATCTTATCTGTGTCATGGAACGAATTTGGTATGCCCCCTTCTTTATCTATTTTTTCCAAATAGGTTATATAGTATTGGAATTAATTGTGCTTTAAATGTTTGGTAGAGTTCACTTGTAAATCCATCTAGTCCTGGGATTTTTTTCTTTGGGAATTCATTTATGGCTTGTTCAACTTCTTTTTCTAAGATAGGGTTATTTAAGTATTCTATTTCTTATTCTGTTAAGCTGGACAATTAATATATTTGCAAATATTCATTAATTTTTACTGATTGTCAGTTTAATTGACATATAGTTGGGCAAAATAACTCCTAATAATTGCTCTTATTACTTCTTATTTAGTTGTGAATCTACCTTTTTCATTTTTTATACTTGTATTTTATTTTTTCTGTCTTTTTCTTAATCAAATTAGCTAACAGCTTATCGTATTATTTTTTAAAATCACTCTTAATTTTATTTATTGTTAATTTTTTAAACTTTCAGTTTTGTTCATCTTTCATTTGATTTTCAGGATTGCTATTTTGATATTTAATTGGGGTTTTTAATTTGTTAGTTTTCTAGTTGTTCTAGCTGCATGCCCAATTTGTTGATCTCTTTTTTCTCTCTTACTGATGAAAGAGGTTAAACATATAAATTTTTCCCTAATACGTAGCTTTAGCTACATCTCACCAATTTTGGTATGTTGTTTAATTGTTACATTATCTTTAATGAAAGTTTTGAGTGTTTCTATACCTTGTTCTTTGATTCATCCATTCTTTAGGATTGTTATTTAGTTTCTAATTAACTTGTTAATCCTGGCTTCAAAAGCCTTTTAGTGAGTATGCTTTAATTGTACTATGGTTGGTAAAAATGCTTTTCTGTATGCATTTTGGAGGTTTTTATGCCCTTATGCAGGGTTGATTTTTGTGAATGTGTCATATACAACTAGAAAAAGGCATACTTCTATATATTCCCACTCAATATTCTCTAGATGTCTACAACATCTAATTTTTCTAAAATTCTATTTAGGCCCTTATTTTTGTTCTTATTTATTTTTTGTTTTGATGAATCTAGGTCTAGGAGAAGGTAAATTGAAGTCCCTCACTATTATTGTTTGTTGTTTCTTCTGTACCTTATTTAAGTTTTCCCTTAAGAATTTAAATGCTATGCCATTTTGTAATACATGTTTAGTATTGATATTAATTCACTGTCCATGGTACCTTTTAGCAAAATATAATTTCACCGCTTATTTCTTTTAATTAGGTTAAGTTTTGCCTTTGCTTTCTCTGAGTTTATGATTGATACCCCTGCCTTTTTTACTTCAAGCATTATAGATTCTGCTGTGGCCCTTTATTTTAACTCTACATGTTTATTTCTGTGTCAAGTTTGTTTCTTGTAAACAACCTTTTATTGGATTATGGTTTCTAATCCACTCTGCTATCCTATTCTATTTTATGTATAAATTTATCCCATTCAGGTTCACAGTTGTGAATGCTGTGTATTTTCCTCCATCCTATTCTCTTATATTTATACTGTTTTGCCCATGCCTCCTATTTAAGAATCTGTGTTGCTTCTGAGTAATGCCTAACTTAGAGTCAAAATCTACCCCTCCTCATACTCTCTTCCCCCACCCCCTTTTCCTTTAACCCATTTCCTTTCTATTTGCCTGTTAGGTAGGTTGTATTTCTGTACCCAACTCTGTGTGTGTGTGTGTGTGTGTGTGTGTGTGTGTGTGTGTGTATTCTTTCCTCCTTTAACTAGTTCAGATAAGAGCAAATTTAAAGTGTTGTCCACCCCAGGCCACTGCACCTCCTTGTTGTATAAGTTCCTTTTATTACATACTATTTATATAATTTTCCCCTTCTTCTTCTCCCTTCTCCTTTCTCTCAGTTCACTCTTCTTCCCACTCATTCTATTCTTCTTTTGAGAACATCCAAATATAACCCTTTCAATTTGACTTCCTCTATAAGCCCTAGTGATAATAAAGTTGAGGGGTTACCTGTGTTATCTTCTCATATAAGAACATAAATAATCTAATCTTACTTAGTCCCTTACAATTGCTCGTTTATGTTTCTTTTTATGGTTCTCTTAATTCCTGTGTTTGTATGTCAAATTTTCAACTCAACTCTGTCTTTTTATCAGGAATGCTTGGAAGTCCCTTATTTCATTACTAATTTTTTTCCACTCCAGGATTACACTTAGTTTTCCTAGTTAAGTTATTCTTGGTTGTAAGCCTACATCCTTCTAGAATATCATATTCTAAGCTCTCTACTCCTTTAAATCTTGTGTGATCCTGATTGTGGCTCCTCTGTACTTGTATTCTTTCTTTCTGACTACTTGCACTATTTTTTCCTTGAATTGGATACTTTGGATTTTAGATAAGGTATTCCTTGGAGTTTTTGTTTCAGGGTTTCTCTCAGGAAATGATTGATAGGTTCTTTCAGTTTCTACTTTGCTCTCTGGTTCTAAGATGCCTGTACAATTTTCTTTTACGATTTCCTAAAGTATGATGTTTAGGCTCTTTTTTGTTTATGGCTTCAGGTAGTCCTATGATTCACTCTGTCTTTTTGTGGGTTCTGCTGCTTTAGAATTTGTTTAGAGCCATTTTTTATGAGTATTTGGAGGGGTTTGGGGGAGAGCTCAAGCAAGTCACTGTTTTCACTCTGCCATCTTGGCTCTGCCCCCCCCCTTCTTCCCAGGTAGTCTTATGATTACTAAATTATCTCTCTTTGATTTGTTTTCCAACTCAGCTGTTTTTCCTATATGTCACATTTTCTTCTGTTTTTTTTTTCAGTCTTTTGACTTCATTTAATTATTTTTTGATATCTCATTGGCTCATTAGCTTCCATTTTCCTAATTCTCATTTTCTAGGTGGCTCAATGGGTAGAGTGCTGAACTGGAGTCAGAAAGGCCTGAATTCAAATCTAGCCTCAGACACTTACTAGCTATATGTCCCTGGGCAAATCACTTAACCTCTGGAGATAAAGTCAGGGTTACCTGCTTTTAGTAGTTTCTTCTAACAAAGAAGGCAGTTTGCCAAAAATACATGATCTGTGGGAAAGGAGCTGCTCTCAAAACTATCCTTGAGAATATTTCTGTTCATGAATATCTCATTCCTGGAGGGGTGGGTAGTCCTTCCTGGGAGCAAAAGCCATAAATAGTCCTGCAACATCTAGCTAGGAATAAGATAAACATGCAAAAAGAGTCAGGGTCAAATTGCCAGCAGACTGAGTGAGGTCAGAATGTCTTTTTTTAATTCATTCACCACACCTTTTGAGCATAGTTCCAAATTGCATTCCAGAATGGTTGGATCGATTCACAACTTCACTAAGAACACATTAGTGTTCCAACTTTCCCACGTCTTCTCCAATATTTATCATTTTCCAGTTTTGTCATGTTAGACAATCTGATAGGTGTGATGTGGTACCTCAGAGTTGTTTTAATTTACATTTTTCTAATCAACAGAGATTTAGAGCATTTTTTCATATGACCATAGATAGCTTTAATTTCATCTGAAAACTGCCTGTTCATACCTTTGACCATTTATCAAGTGGGGAATATTTCTTAGAAATTCGTATTCTTAGAAATTTGAATCAGTTCTCTACATATTTTGGAAATGAGGCCTTTATCAGAGTTACTGACTGTAAAAATTGTTTCCCAGCTTTCTGCTGTCCTTCTAATCTTGGTTGCATTGGTTTTGTTTGTGCAAAATCTTTTTAATTTAATGTAATCAAATTATCCATTTTGCATTTCATAATGTTCTCTTTCTCTTGTTTGGTCATAAATTCCTCCATTTTCCATAGATCTGAGAGGTAACCTATTCCTTGCTCTCCTGGTATATTTATATTGTCACCCTTTATGTCTAAATCACGTACCCATGTTGACTTTATCGTGGTATATGGTGTAAGACGTTGGTCTGTGCCTAGTTTCTATCATACTCTTTTCCAGTTTTCCCAGCAGTTTTTGTAGGGTAATGAGTTCTTATCCCAGAAGTTGGAGTCTCTGCGTTTATCAAACAGTAAATTACTCGGGACAGTAGATAGGGTTAAGTAGATAGAGCTCCAGCCTTGGAGTCAGGAAGACCTGAGTTCATATCCAACCTCAGACACTTGAAACTTACTAGCTGTGTGACCCTGGGCAAGTCACTTAATCCCAATTGCCAAAACAAAAAACCAGTAAATTACTCTAGTCATTGACTACTGTCTCTTGTATACCTAAGCTATTCCCACTGATCCACCCCTCTATTTCTTAGCCAGCATCAAGTAGTTTTGATGATTGATGCTTTGTAATACACTTTTAGATCTTGTACAGCTAGCCCACCTTCCCTTGCATTTCTTTTCATTAATTCCTTGATATTCTGGACGTTTTGTTCTTCAAGATGAATTTGGTTATTATTTGTTCTAGTTCTATGAAATAAGTTTTAGGTAATTCAAGTGGTATGACACTGAATAAGCAAATTAATTTACTTAGAATTGTCATTTTTATTATATTAGCTCAGCCTACCCATGAACAACTGATATTTTTCCAACTATTTAGATCTAACTTTATTTGTGTGAAAAGTGTTTTAAAATTGTGTTCATATCGTTCCTGGCTCTGTCTCAGTAAGTAGACTCCCAAATATCTTATGTTGTCTACAGTTACTTTAAATGTTTCTCTTTCTATCTCTTGCTGTTGGGCTTTGTTAATAATATATTAAAATGCTGATGATTTATGTAGGTTTATTTTATATCCTGCAACTTCGCTAAAGTTGCTAATTATTTCAAGTAGTTTTTTAGTTTCATTTTCCCTTTTTGCTAATTTACTTCTTGACTATGAACTTTATGTTAGTGTTAGGCTCCGCATGCTTCTAGAGATGGGGGATATCTGCCTGAAATTCTGTCCTCTCATGTCCTTCTGTTCTTGCTTTCCCAGCTCAATCTAGGGGTTAGTTTAGGTTCCTAAAATACTGTGATCTCAGGAGGGCTTCTGTTCACTGCCCTCCTGGTCTGACTTCCAGAGTCCCTGACCTGGGTTTGGTTCTATCAGCTTGTTTTTGGCTGGGAGTTTCATCAGACTGCTGCTTGACTCAGTTACTGTTGGTCAACTGGGATGTCCTATTGGTTCAGAGTGATTGAACTGCACGTTCCTCCGTCATACAGAATACTGTGTTCTGGTCCATGGATCACAGCCTCACAGTTACCATTTCTTTCCTGGTACTTGTTCTCTGCTCAGTTTGGGCCAATGTTCCAAACCATTCCTCTCCACCCTGGATTAATCACTTGGTCCTGAGTGGTAGGCAACAAAGCTGTCAGATTGCATCGGTTCCTGCACCCAGCGCCTGCTCAGGGAAACCCCGAGTTCTCTTTCTAGTGCTCTGTCTCAGCCCTCTCAGTCTCTGGGCACCAGGAATGCTCTTCACCACAGATGCTTTATGATCTTGCCAGCTTGTCCTGTCTGCAGACCTGTCTGATCAACTGTGACTTCTTGGCTTTTCCAATCAGAATTCCATCTGTTGAATTCTGCAGTATGGGGGTAGAGCTAGATTCCAGTGCTTCCTTTCTCTTTGCCATTTAGATTCTTCCCTGGGAGCTGATTTATTTGACTGGAAGCATCTCCGTATAGCAATGTATGGGAAGCTGTATCTTCGCTGAATATAATTTCCATGCTATCATGTAGACTTCCACTTGTTAAATGTGATATGTTAATTTGTTAAATTAATATGTAATTTGTTAAATGTAAAATAAAACAAGTGTTTTATTTAATTTCTATCTTGAACGAATCAGCCCTGGCCCATAATAGACAAGCAAGAGTCTACTTTATAATAGCTAGGTGACAAACACTATGTTGTGTTTTTTCAATGTGAACGAGGTGATCAGTCACTCATACCTTTAAGATATGTCCCGTACTAAAATTTTGGTCCCTTTAAAACAGAAAAAATACCATAATTTTTTTTCATTGATCTTTACAAGGGTACACATTCCACAGCTAGCCATTCAAAGTGGGTGAGATATGATTATTCTTTGGTCTTCTAAGATGCACATCTTTGGTTTCCCAGGTCCGTGTTTCATGTTTTTGTAGTTTCATTCAATATATGGTGCCAAATCCATAGTATTTACCAAATAAGCACTTAACTTGTTGACTGAGGTAGTTCTTAAGAGGTAAGTACTTCATTGAGGTAGTTCTTACTGCTGATGGCATATTGAATATCAAGTATATCTGTTAAGCAAAAAGAGTATTCTATTGAATAGTATCTTTCTAAATCACTGGACTACAAACGGTATCAAGCCATTTGGTAGTCTAAGAAAGTACAAGTGGAGATCCAAAGTTTTATCATGATCGAGTATTAGAGCTTATATGCTTTAAGTTTCAAAGCAGTGCATTATGGCCTTAGCTACCTTCCCAGTCACTAAATCTTCAACAGCCAATGTTAGAAAAGCTAATGAAAGTACACGTTCAAGTTTGATACCCTTGTGGGGCAACAGCCTCGGGTAAGAAAAAGTTGAGATTCCAGAACTTTGGGTCCTGCGTAATAGAAGAGAACCTGGAGTCAAATGCCGCCTGATACACTTCCTACACAGGTGGCTACACTTCCTGGATAAACCTATTTAAACTTTTTCAGCCGGTTCCCTCATATGCAAAATAGGGACGTTAAAGGTTGTGGAGAGCAGGCACACAGGTCAGTCCGCGAGCGCTCACTAATTGGCTACCTTAAGTAAGCGCTGGGGGTATACATAAAGGCGAAAGGCAGCGCTACCAAGCACATGCAAACGAGAGGCGGGGGACAAAGCGGAGAGAGTCTGCAGAGGGGAGACGCCAGCCTAAGGATCAGGAAAAGCTTTTCATCAAAGGGGAGATTTTAGCTGGGGGGGGGTGCGTGTTGGGGGAGGGCAGCCGGTGAGCGCGCTTCGCACGGCCTGGAGCGACGCAGACGCCTAGCTCTCGATACTTAGTAACAAGCAGCGCCCACTCCGCCGGTGGGCAGCGCAAGCCAGCTCTGGAGCAGGTGCCCAGGCAGGACGGTGGTCGTGGCGTTCCATTTCCCGGAGGCGCTGAGCCTCCCTGCGCCGCGGCTGCTCCCGGGGTCACGGTGCAGCGCTTCCAAACGCGGCCCATCGCTTCGCGGGAGCAGTGCGGGGAAGGGAAACGGACCACTTCCGCCTCCCGCAGGTTAGACCCTTCCCGCTTTCCGTCCTTCCCTGTGTGGAGAAGCGAGCCCCCAAACAGGTCGCTCTCAGTGGAAGGGGAGTGAGGTATTGAGCAGCGCTGCCCCCCACCCCAGGCCAGGTCCAGCGAAGGATGGCGGCGGCGGCCGAACGGTACTGTGTGGCGGAGGAGCGGAGTGGACACTGCGCTGTAGTGGACGGGAACTTCCTCTACGTCTGGGGAGGATATGTGGTAAGGGGACTAGGGCGCCAGGAGCCCTGACCTTCCGAGGCCGCTCGGTGGGAGGGGCGGAGAGGCCGCCCTTGGGCCCGCCCGGGTTGGGTGTGAGGGGCGGGGATGGGGGGGGAAGTGCGCAGGGCCAGCCCAGTGCTCGGAGTGGAGCGGGGGAGGGGGCCCCGCTCAGGCCGGCCCAGGGCGAGGGGGAGGGGTGGAGATTAGAAAGGGGGGCGGGGAGAGCGTGGGAGCAGCCCTGGTGGGTAGGAGGGGCGGGGGTGAAGGAGCACGCTCGCCCGGCTCCTGGAAGGCTCTGGGTCGGGGGAGGGGAGAGAGGCCGAACGCTCCCGCCCGCCCCTGGAGGGCGCGGAGGCGGGGGAGGGGCAGCGCGCCGAGCTCGCTGGGCCCAGTGCGGGTAGCAGAGTACTCACGGGCGGCTCCTGGAGGGCGCGGGAAGGGGGAGGAGCGGGAGCACGCTGGGCCGCTCCAGGCCGAGGTGGGGGGTGCGGAGGTGGAGGCACGCAGCACCCGCTCAGGTGGTGGCGGGGAACCCCGGAGTGTGGTCCCTTCTAAGTCTGCCGGCGTGGAAGTGGGCACAGGCACCTTAACCCCGGCTACCGGTCCTCAAGTTTGGATGCACTGTGGAGGGTCTTTCCCCTGGAAAAACCGGGTTGCCTGCCTCTTCTCTGACGCCTCTGCACCGGCCTCCCCCGCTAAGCTAGGCACACCAAGGCGTTTAATTGTAGTGCAGGCCTGGAAGGGAGTTTGAGATAGACTACCTTAACCTTCTCATTTTACAGATGAGAAAACTGAGGCTCGCAAAGGTGAAAGGACGTGCCCAAGGGCACCCAGCTAGTAACTCCTAAGAATCAGGACTTGAACCCGGGTCCCTAGACTTCCAGGACAAAGTGCTCTACACTGTGCCATGCTCCATTCCTTTTATTACTTTATCTCCACCATTTGTGGTGGTCTTGCCACTATTCCCCCACCGTTCTCATTAACCTCTTCCGTAACCCTCAGTTTTCCCTCCTTTCTTTCTCTTTATACAGTGTTGGTTCTCCTCTCAGCCACCTCTTCCAGAGCCAGTAACTTCTCTGCATCAAAAATTGACTCGGCCTTAGAGTACAGCAGCAGGACCACAGTATTGTACAATTGTTGCCGAGTCCCACAACCTCTCAGAACTGTGATTGAAGTCGAAAATTTTAAAAAATTTCTAGGCCCCACTTTATTTTCTCGGGTGTTACTAGATGGTTGTATGCCATGTATTTTTCTTGTCAGCATTTTTATTTTAGCTTTTTGAGAATCCCAAGAGAACCCTTTTGTTGTATAGAATTCATGTTAAAACTTGACATGCCGACAGGTCATACAACCTATGACAAATCTGTGATCTGATGTCAACCTTTCTGTTTCATGGAAACACATTAGATAGTTACTATTTAAAATCAATATTTGAAAAAGACTACATCCGTACAGAGTGTTAAGATGGCAGATGGCCAAATCAAAATTTCTTTCAAACATAATTTGATATTGTACCCTTTACGAAATGTTTTTCTTCCTGTAGCCAGATGGAATTTTGGCTGGCCATTCTGGCAAGTGTGATTACCTGAGTAAGTGCTGCTACTGGCATATTTCCTTATTAAGGCTCTTCAGGTTCGAAGCAGTCTGGGTGATGGATATCTACTGATTACTACAGAAATTCTCTAATTGGCTACTCCTCCACCTCAGTTTAAATTGAGAGAAGTCTCCTCTCCTGTTTGAATTGGTTTCTCTCCATCCCCAGCTGTATACTTAAGAGGTTTTTAACCAAATCACCATGATCATCCATTCTAATAGCAAATTCAAACACTATGGTAATGCAAGTAAGCATTTACAGAAACAAACTTTCCTTTTCTGGTTGTAATAGCTGCTGTGAGGAAGGGTGTGTGAATTCCCTGCCTTCCTCCCCACCAGGGGAAGATAACAAGGCTTGTGGCCTGGATTCTGGTAGTTTTCACCATGCCCAGTTGTATCTCTCCCCCCTTCCTCCATATTCTCCCTTGCTGTGGGTCTTAGATCCATTTGCTTTGCCTGCTTTTTGTCAGAGGGGTAGCACTTAGTGCCTCCATTCCATGCTGATTTAGCAGAAGAAGTGGAGGAATCAGTGCAGGCCACGGTCCTTTGCTTGTCTCTCTCTTCTCTGTATCTTGGCTATGTGGCTTTTTTGGCAGAAGCAAATTGTTTCCAGAATTAAAACCCCTGGAATCCTGGGGATCTTTGGGTAACATCTGTGTGTGGCATTCCTATTCTGCCAAGTTTCTGTGGCTGCTCCCTTGGGGGAGGGATTCCATTCCTAAAGATAGCCAGACCTCATGTTTGTTAAGAAATATTTTTAAGGCTATGGGGCTCCATCATTCTGAATCAAAGGGAAGTGAACCTTAATTTGGTAATTGATTTTTGATACTTTAGAAATCAAACTGAGAAAGAAGTTTTCACTTGAAATTGCCTTGGTAGTACATACACCAAGCTAATTTAATAAAATATTTCTCGATCCCCACACTGTTTCCTAAATGATAAGGGTTTGTATTTTGTATCTCACCTGAAAGGTTGTGTCAGCTACTAGCTCCTTCGTATGGGCTGATTGAATTTAGAAGTCACCTGGTATACAAATTCAATTCAGGAATACAGGTCCTTTCAGAATAGCTTCTGAGTTTAGATCATGAATCTGTAGCTTTGTAGGGTTAAGGAATGCCTATAGATGTTATTAGCAGGGACTAAGATATAAGCAGGAGAGGAATGAAACAAAGAAGTAATAATAAGAGGGGAAAAAGCAAAGAGAAGTACATAGGAGGAATGTTAAGAATGTCAACAAGAATTCAGTGCCACTGGAGCAATATAAGTTGCCTACGACTGATCTAGGTCAGCAGTTTTCAAACCATGATCTGGGGAACCTCTAAGACCCTTTCAGGGAGTCCTCAAGGTCAAAACTGTTTTCATAACTAAGATGTTCTAATTTCTAGTATAGTAAATATTGATAAATATAACCCACATAGACAAAAAACATTGAGGGATCCTCAATTTATAAGAATGTAAAGGTGTCCTTAGACCAGAGTTTGAGAAAGCTATCTAGATCATCATTGCTTAAAGGATTCCTGAGTTGCTCCAGTTACTTCGTTTTTTGTTTTTTTCCTAGAATAAGTCATAGGAAGGCTGTAGGTGACTTGGACTAAATTAGATTCACCTCTATCCCTGAATATCTCCTCTCAAAGTATTCTTTAAGCAGGGAACAACACAGGACTAAGCTAGTTCTCTAGGTCACCGGGCTTCAAAACTGCAGTGCCCTCTAAAGGTAAGGGAAAGGTACTGTACAAAACAAATTATACTGGTTATCAGTCAGCCAATCAATACAAGCACTAATTAAGCACTCATTGTGTGCCACATTAAGTGCTGGGACTTCAAAAACAAAAGGGAAACGTTATGATTATCCCTTGCTCTTTATGATCCTTTACACATTATTGAAGTTGGTAAGAACTTTACTGCTAGCATTACTGTGGGGAAAAGGTATACATGATTCAATATACCTTGCAAATTCTACACATCACTGAATTGATAAAAGTTCTGTCAGTTATGACATTCAGGAAGAGTTTTCTTTTGATAACAAAGACTTTCTAACACTTTAGTGTAGAAAATATTTTGCATAAATATACATATCTTTGTATATTATATTGTGAATTTAGACAGAAATTAGGTAATACTCAAAGTGAATTTTAAAAAGTTAATATGTATGCTATGGTATCTTGATTTATATTCTAAATTACAGTCTAAAACTGCTGTTCCTGCGTCAGCGGTATTTCAGTTTTAGAGCAAGTGATTAATCATTCTTTTAAAGCAACTGCTCTTCTTAGCTCAGTTTTTGTATCACTCTTGAAACATCTTGCTACAAGTTCAAAATACTATTTTTCTTATCGGCTAACAAAGAAATAAGAGACTTAAATATTAGAAAATTAGCCTTATAATGTTTTTATGACATCTTGCAATTTCTTAAAATGTCTTAGAAATCAAACCCAACAATTTTATACTTAGTTCAGCATACTATTCAACATACATTTTGTCCCATGGAAATTGGTTGATGTTTTATATGTATTTTTTTGATTCTGAATTTAAAAAATGCAACCAGAATTTCTTTACCACTTACTTTTATTGAGAGGTGTGTGAATTTGAATATGAACTATGTAATACGATGAAGTCATAAACTATAGTTTAGTTGTGGGGCAGGGCAAGGATGTGGGTATATGAGAACTCAACTAGTTGACATGTTCTTGCATCTTATGTGAAATCTCAGTTTATGTGCTATGTGGCAGGGCAGGCTAAGACATGTTGATGCAAGTTTAGTCATGCATCAAAATTCTAAATATGTAGCAGAATATTTTTAGAACTTCAGGTTATAAAATCATAGCTCTAGAGCTCAAAGGAACCTCATAGACCATCTAGTCTAAGCTTTCATCCTGTTTTTAAAATTTTTATTTTATTTTATTCCTCTGGAGTCGTGGTTGATTATTGCATGGATCGGAGTTCTTGTGTCTTTCAAAGTTGTCTTTACAATGTTAATGTTATTGTTCTCCTGACTGTTCATTTCACTTTGTACCAGTTCATACAAGTCTTTCCAGGATTCTCTGAAACTATCACTTTTATCAATTCTTATGGCACAATAGTATTCCATTACATTCATATACCATAGTTTGTTTAGTCATTTCCTAATAGATAGGTACCCCCTAAATTTCTGGCTCTTTGCCAGTACAAAAAGAGCTGGTATAAATATTTTTGTGCATATAAGTCCTTTTCCTTTTTTTTTTTTAATCTCTGGGGTAATGGTATTACTTGGTCAAAAGACATTAACAGTTTAGTGACTTTTGCAACTCCCTCATTTTACAGATGAGGAAACTAAGGCTCAGTTGCACTCAAAGTGACTTGTCTAAGACCACTCAGGTACCAAGTTTTAGAGGTAGAGCCCAGATCTTGTGGGTTCAGAGTGAGGGTTCTTTTCATTGTATCCTATCTTGCTTGACAGTTTTGTGCCAGGCATTGTTTGGTAAACCATCATTATTGTTTCTAATCCTCTTTTCTCAAGTGTTTTGTAGATGTTGGTATTAGTCTTGTGTCTAGTGAGCTAACGAATCTTAGAGATGAAACCTTTAATTGAGAAACCATATGAACTTTGTTTTGGTTGTAAAATAGTTGCCAGGTTAAGGTTTTATTCTGACTTGGGCTATATCATTCTTGTTAGAATACTAACTGGCAAGATGCATGGCTCCTAGTACATGCTATTTGTGGCTTCCTTGATGTGGAAGAACAAAAAAACCATTCAACATATTGCCCTTTTTGCTTAACACATAAATATATTATTCAAAGCTACCATTCAAAGCATTAAGACCTCTTTTATTAATTGAAGAACTATTTGTACCAAAACTTCCAGTGACTTAGTATTTGGGTGATAATGAACCTGAGCATTCCAACTGTAATAATAAGGCTCAGCATCATAATATGGGCGAGCATGATGGTGGTGATTGCCCATTTGAAATATCCTTATATCCTCAGAACCTTATCTAATAAGTTAAGCAGACCTAAATGATTTTGTTCATGATTACTCATTAATGTTGAAGTGCCTATACTGATGTAGGCACGTGTGCTGATCTTAACTTATTCCAGAATGAAGCTGAACTTTTAAGCTTCTAGACTTCATGGAGTCTCCTGCAAGAAGAGTACCAAAATATGTTTAAAATAGGAAGCTTCTCTTGAGAAAACACCGAGTATGAAAAGTAGTCTTGAGATATCTAGAGGGTGCTAAAAGTGATTAGAATTACAACTTGGATATATAAAATGTTACTGCTTTATTTATAAATGGGGCAGTGTGGACATTAAGAAATCCTGGAAAGCACTGATTCCAAGGGGAAAAAATGTAGTAAGTCATCATTTTCTTTGAAAAAGTTTTCTTGGAATCATTGCACATTAAGCTTTGGTTTATCAGGTTTATCAAGGTATTGGATCAAAATAGTGTAGATTTTCATTATTTGAAAAATAAATTTCTAGGAATCAATAAAGCTAAAGTCAGAGAAGAAATAGGTTAAGGTCCTTAAATAAGGAAAGTGATGAAAGTTCGTGAAACTACAAGATAGAAAAATGACCAAAAAGTTGTCAGTGATCTGTAAGTCTGTAGAGTTGCGGCACGTAACATAAATCAGTATCTATTATTTGGATTCCTAGAAAACCTAGCTTCTAATAGGCATGAATATGGGGAATGCTTCCATTAAAAAAAATTACCACAGTGGAAAGCAAACTAGGGCGGGTTAACTCCAAACATTCTGAATGACTGCTGCTGGACATTGTGGAGGGATATTCCACAGGTGAAATGTAATAGGAAAGCAGCAGTAACTAGATTTTAGGTGAATTAAATGAGCACAATTTTTCTTAGTAAAAAAGTATTTTAAAAAATGTAAAAGTTTGAGCCTCTTGATAACTGTATGACAGACAAAATCTGAAGCTGTATTTGAAATCACAAAAAATACTCTGAAGTTTCATTTATTTTTGTAGTTATGGCAGCAAAAGCTTTTTTTGTCATTGTCCTGTATAATTTTTAGTATAGTGACCTCTGCCTTCTAAAATGATTGTTCCTGAAGATTCTAATGTAGCTCCTATAACTTTTCTTAAATGTGCAACTTAAATGAAATGTTAGACTCCTACTTTATGCTAATCATTTTTTTCATGTTTCATGTTAGCTGCTTGTTTTAGAGGGTTCTTGGTTGCCGTCTGGGAAAAAAAATTAAACTCCAGATTATTGTTTGTTTGGTATTATATATCTTTCACAATAAACATTTGGATGAGCCGATTAGTTCATCAAGCATGTCCCTCCTGGGCCATAATATTCTTACTATCTTCCCTTTCATATTTACCTCCTGTAAGTCAGAATGTACTATACCCTTTTTAGCCATTACCTTCCATACTGACTTTTTGGTTCCTTGCTCTAAATAGCATCTCCACCTCAAATTTCTCTGTTGAGGTCTCTTCTCAGATGTATTTTCCCAGAAGCTTTTCTTACATGAGACCACTTGATTTTCTACGTACTTCAGACTGGCGGTCTATCCACTGTCTCTTAAAGAACACTTATCCTTTTTCTTTTATTCCTTGAGTGTTTTATGTTTAAAACTCCACATGATGATTTTTATATATCTCATTCTAGTTTGTACTTTGCCCATCAGTTTTCATGCCCAATAACATTAGTAATGTGTGTTGTACTTAATTGACAAATGTGTCTTTTATATATCTTATGTTTTTAGTCTATTGAAGACAATGAAGTGTATTTGCCTAATGATGAAATTTGGATCTATGAAATTGACAATGGTTTGTGGTAAGCTATATATGTTTTAAATCATGCAGAATGTCAACTTTTGTAGTAACTATTGTAGAATTTGGTTAAATGCTGTAAGACTGTATCTGTACTGTTTTTGCAAATGTTCAACTCTTCCTTTTTCTCAGGTCTCTATTTTTATAATTTTTCAACTTTTTTCATCTTTCATATGTTTGATGCTTTGTCATATGTCTGATTTGCTATGGAACTTTACAATATTTTACAAAGTAAAATTTTTAGTGCGTTTTGATGAAATGATTGATGGAGTTTATGGTATATTTTTGTTTGTCTTTCTGGAAAATTACGGAATTCCATGTTGTTTTGCTGCAGGACAATGCACCTCATGGAAGGAGAACTCCCTACATCCATGTCAGGAAGTTGTGGTGCTTGCATTAATGGAAAACTGTACATTTTTGGAGGATATGATGACAAAGGATACAGCAATCGAGTAATACATTGCTTAATTCAGGAAGTGTACCAGTCGAATATCTAATGTAGAAACTTCATCTTATAAAATTGAAGATACTTTTAAACTTTAAGATAAAATAAATGCTTAACTGTGTAACTATGATTCATTAAAGATAAGCATTTAAAATATTCTTTTACTATGATTTTACTCCATGTCTTTTGGAAAGTTATCTCCATAAGACAAGAACATGGGGGAAAAGATTCTGTTTCATGTGTTTCATTTGTGATGATTATTTTGTTTCCTTTAATTAATCTTACTATTTTTAGTTTTCCATTTTATTGAAAAGGGTAGAAATGTATCTATTACCATTTGCTATTTTGATTGTGGATGACATATAATGTATATTGAATTGTACCAATGGTGTTCTTCTTTTTTTAAAAGCTGTATTTTGTTAATTTACGAACAAAAGATGGAACATTCCAGTGGGAAAAAATCATCGACTTTAAAGGACAGCCTCCTACACCACGAGACAAACTTTCTTGCTGGGTATATAAAGACAGGTAATTCTCAAAAGTTTTGTCTAACTGTACTATTGATTGCATTTCTGTAATAAGGATTTTAGCACGTGGCAAAAAACAACAACAACCGCAGAACAACTGAAGTAAGAATCTTTAGGCTTGTGATTGGAATTAAAATTGATGTTAAAGATGATAGGATGTATTTGAACACTGAACAAAATTCACAGTCATGAAAATAGGAGTGGTGGTAGCAGCTACTTGGTGTTAAATAATTTGGTATAATGGTATTTCAGCTAACATGGATTTTATTTAAATCTAGTTGATTGAAATTAGTCATTAAAAAAACTCATGCTTATAATATATTCATCACAAAACAGAGCTAAAGATTTTGTTTTAGAAGGAAAACACTGTTAAGATAGTGACAGATGGATACTACACTCAAAGACCCAGTAATTCTAGAGTGTTCTGCTTATAAGGTTTCTAGTTTGTTTTTATCACACCTACTGCCTTTAAATCAGAGAACCTTTTTTATGTCATGGATTCCTTTGGCAGTCAGATAAAGCCTATGGATGCCTTTTCAGAATAATGTTTTTAAATGCATAAAATGAAATATATAGGATTACAAAGGAAACCAATTATATTGAAATACAGTTATCCAGATATTTTAAGTTCATAGGCCTTATGTTAAGAACTCCTGCTTTAAATGGTTTCCAGATTCCATCCTAAGAATCTTCTCTTCATTTGTCTTCTGTCCACACTTGGGAAAGATAAAAGAGCTGATCCAAGTCTAATTTTTTTCATCTCTATGTCCATTTCTATGTACTATCATTAACAACTTTTATTGTCTCTGAAAACAGAAGCCACAATTACAATACCTAGACTGAGGATCTATTTGCTATGTAATGGAACCTTCAAGAATAAGCATTAGTTACAATTGGTTAGGGTGATTTTTTTCCTCTTTAAACATTCTAGAAGGTAGATAAAAGAATCTTTGTGAACTATCTCAACTGTTTTATCTAGGAGTATGATGGTGACCAGCTAACTTTGGTGTTCTAGGTCAGGCCTATAATTCAAGCTCAGGATTGGAATGAAATGAAACACTTATTGACCATATGACATTTTATAAAAGTAACATTACTTGGTATGGAAAGGCTGTTCAGCAAAGTTACAGCTTTGGTTCAGCTTGTCTCACTAGAAAGACGTGCTTAGTTAGGGGTGTTGACTAGAATGGTAGCTGGGAGCCCATCAAGAATGAGGAGCACAAATACTCTTGGATTGAACTTTTTATGTCTTATACATCTTGGAAACGCCAGCAGTGGTTTTGAGCTTTACCCTCCTGGAATAATTAAGTATTGAGAATTGTTGCAGTGCTTTTTTAGGGAAAGACTTGCCTAGCCTACATGTCAGGAACTTTCGAGCCTTAGTAACTATTGCTCTTATCATGCCTCACCTTTGGTGGCTAGGTCCTAAAGGTCACCCTGGGGGAATCTTCCACTAAATGGCCTTAGTGGACAACCTTGACTTGAAGGATTTGGAAAGCCTATTGTAGGCAACACTGGAGGAAGAGGCACAATTGAAAGATAACAAAAAAGACCACAATCAATATAACATCTCTATAAAGGAATGCAGTCCTTGTGGTGGGAGTGATGTGAGGCATAATTCTTGGTGGCCTTCTGATGTAAAGCAGTGATAATGAACTGGAACAGCACTAGAAACGTCAGAATGACATGGTAGATATTAACAGAGTCACCAGTTTTCATCATGGGTCAGGGTCATCTGTAGTAGGTAGCCAAGACGGCATGTAGCCCTGTACCACCATCCATTCGGTGTTCTCCTGCCCATTGGCATTGACTTCACTTCACTATGCACCTTTTGGGAGAAATACCAAGTATCTGCCCCTTTCGAGGCCCTTGTGAGGCAGTGTGACTGTTTAAATTGATTAGGTCCCTTCTAGCTCTAAGTCTGTGATGGTGTGATCTGCGACTGTCCCTTTTTCTGTAGACTAGTAGTTATGCAGTGACAGTTTTACATCTTGTCTGTGTTTAGGAAGCAAGACATCTTCAGTAATTCTACCCTTTAGTCTCCCAAGCCTTGCTTGGGAAGTAGTTGTCCGTTGACTGAAAGCACTATATTGGCAACAGTATGGAAGGATCTTATTTCAGATTATAATAATCAGTTAGCTACAATGAGCCTGCCTGTACTACTGCCTATGCCAATAGCCTTATTACTTTCTATTTCACTGGGGCCCGCACCACGGCCCATTTCACCATGATCCAGATACAGCCCATTCTGCTGGGACCTATGTTATGCTCACTATGCCAGTGCCTAGTTCCTTCATCTGAGAAAAGGCTGCTGTTATATAATACAATAAGCCGCCCCCCCCCCCCCCAGACAAGAGCCTGAATGGTTCTGCTGTTCCTTGTATTCTGGTATCATTCTCTTCTCAGCTGTATTTTTACTCTCCCAGACTTTGCCACCATCATTCAGCTGCCTTCTCACTCTAGAACTTCCCTCAACACTTGGGGCCTTCTCACCCTGGAATTATCTTCCACCACGCTAGCTTATGTTTCCCATTGGTGAGTTCATTCTAGGGGCTTCCATTTTCTGGATGGCCATACTTCATTCCCATCTCTCCTATGCTGTTGACTCTCAGGACTTCAACACCATTCACATTCCCCTTCTTCCCACCCCTTTCTGCTTCCTTTTATGTGTCATCTTCCCCATTAGAATGTTAGCTCCTTGAGGGCAGGGACTATCCTCTTTTTTTTTTAATGCAATTTAGGCAACAGCTAGTAAGTGTCCAGTGTCTGAGCCGGATTTGAACTCAGGTCCTCCTGACTCCAAGGCTGGAGCTCTATGCACTGTGATACCTAGCTGCCCTATCTCTGCAGTTTATGAGTAGCTCCCTCAAAGCCTTTGTCTTCTGGAAAGCAAGACCAGGGGTTGAATTCCTCCTCTTCCCAATATGTTCACCAAGAAGTGTTGTGGTCACTGTAGGGCAACGTCTCATTCACAGTGTGCCAGTACCAATTGAGAGATGGAGAAGTTCTGAGCTAGTCACTCCTAAAAAGTCCAACTCTGGGCTGATGTTTAGTCATTTACGTTCAGTCAAAGAAATACAAAAGAGAAGAGGCAGATAGAGGCCACAGCTCAGTCTTGCCCAAGCAGTACACATATTTGAAGCCACGGTATCTTCTAGGGGTGGGCAATATACCTCTTCCTTACCCCTTATGAGAAGTTCTAGAGTAAAGAGCATTATGTGCCACATGTTCAGGAGAAAGAAAGGAAGAGAACAGATCTCTCTTTGGAAGAGATGGCAGTCACTCCTTTTAAGGGATACTGAGTTGGTGATTCTTTGTGGCTTTAGTAGCCGGTTTTCTTGGCTTCTGCTGCCATCATTCTAAAGCACTGTCTTTCAGCACTGAGCCAGCATGCATGGCCTACCAGAAGAGGGAAGGGCAAATGTGTCACTGTAAGGTACCCAGCTCCAGGTATGTCCTATGGTATAATTCTAGCTAGAGCAGATTAAGGGAGGTTCCTCTGATTATACCCATTATCCTTTTCTCCCTGTCCTCCATAGACTTGCTTGTCCTTGGCAAATCAGTTTAGGTGAATTTGACACATCTGTCCATATTCTAAATTCTGAAAAGTCCTCTAAGATCCTAGAGAGGCTCAAGCTTCAAAGTATTCAGTGCCCTGCACTAAAGATTTTTGATCAATTAATAAATATTTAAGTGTGTAATATGTGCCAGGTACTGCTAAACATTGGAAAAATGTTTTTAAAATGCAAAACCCCCAAAACCCCTGTTTTTAGACAATCCCCAAATTATACAGCCTTTAGGGGTAGGACCTAGGCTTGCCCTGGGTATGGAACCTAGAGATTACAATCACTCCCAAATACAAAGTTATTAAAATTTAACAAATGGCATTTTACACTTGTCATAGATTTTGTAAAAAATCCTCCAAATGGACTAAGGTCCATGAGTGGCACCTCCGCTCTCAGGATATGATTTTTAAAGACCTAGAACAGAGGTAGGGAACCTGCAGTCTCAAGACTACAGGTTCCCCACCCCTTACTTGGAGCATATACGTGTCTATCTCTAATTGCTGAATCCCCAGACAACTTTAATTTTCCTTATGCTAGTAATCCAGCTCTTCTAGGGCTATTAGCAAGAGATAGGAAAGGCTAGCTGTGGCCGTACCTTTATTCTCCCTGTCGGCCTCTATGTGCACCCACTCTGCTAATCCCACCTGGTGGTAGCGTCCTCGTCCAGTTGAGAGGATTTATAGTATGCCTCCAGAAGCATGACAGCCACAGTATGCCAGACTCTTGGGATCACCCAGAATCCTCTTACTCTATGTTGTCTTTCCTATCAGTTTCTGGGCCAGACCGGACTCAGGTCAGCCCCATAGTTCATGTTTAAGATTGGAACAAAATGAGACACACATAGACTATATAATATTTTTTAAAGGAAATTTAATTAACTCGTGTGGGAAGGATACTCAGCACATATACATGTTCAGTTCATAGCTCACATCTCCATACAGAGACACACCTAGTCAAGGGTTTGACTTGAATGGCAGCAGGGAGTCCATTACAACAGCAGAGCTGACTGCTTTTGCATGGGGCATTTTGTGTCCTGGGAGACCAACAAGCTACATTAATAAGTTGAACTTTGGTACCCTGGGCCAATGAAGTCTTGAGGATGGTTTAGTTACCTTTTTAAGGAAAAACTGGTCTATGTGGTAGTGGCTTTCCAGTCCTTGAAATTGATTGTGCTACGCTTGACAATTATAAAAGGGAGAAGCCTACATTTATTTTAGTGGACTCTAGCTATGTGACATGTAGCTTTAAGTTTTATCATGTAATATAAAAATAACCTTGCATCGGTTGTACTAGCAGTAAAGTAGGGTTGTTAATTACTGTGTTCTGCAAAGAGATTTTCTAGACACTGAAGGCTTATAAAAAAAAATAACAACAAAAGTTTCCTCTTAGATGTCACAAAGATGTTCTGACTTCATATTTCCAAGGCTTAACTTGCCTTAACCTTACATAGTATGTATCAGTCCTTTAAGATTTCATTCAGTCAGTCAATAAGCATTGATTCTGTGCTATGTACTGGAGATACAGATACAAAAATAAACAGTCCCTGACCTCAAAGAGTTCATATCCTTTTAGGGGAGATAACATGTTCAAGGATAAGAATATACAAAGTGTTAGGTACTTTGGGTGTGAAGCATTTGCTGCTGGGGTGTTATTCAGTATGTGCCTCACATAGGGGGTGACACAAGTTGAGCTTTGATGGAAACATAGTACAGGGGAAAGCATGCTGAATTTTTAGTAAAGGTCAGAGATAAGAAAAGAGTGTATTTCAAGCATGGGGTTTAGCTTATGCAGAGGCGGAAATGAAAGGTGGAATGTTATGTGTATGGAGCAGCAAGAAAACCAGTTTGGTTGGAGTGAAGGCTGCTCAAAGGGGAATAATGTATAATTTTGGAAAGGGACTTTGGAGCCAGGTTATGAAGGGTTTTAAATTCCAAACAGAGAAGTTCATTTTTGTTCCTAATGCAATAGTTCTGGTGAGAGATGATGAGATCCTGAACTAAGATATCTATGGTGTGAATGGAAGGAAGGGAAGAGATGTCAGAGATGTGGAGGTAGAATTGACGGGACTTGGTGACTGTCAGTATGGAGTGAGGTAGAGTGAAAAGTTTTTTGGGTTTTTTTTTTGTGTTAGGCAACTGGGGTTAAGTGACTTGCTCGGGGTCACACAGCTAGTAAGTGTCAAGTGTTTGGTCTGAGGCCGCATTTGAACTCAGTCCTCCTGACTTCAGGGCCAGTGCTCTATCCACTGCGCCACCTAGCTGTCCCTTAGAGTGAAAAGTTGAAGATAAACTCTGAAATTGTAAATTTGGTGACTGGGAGGATGGTAGTATCCTCAACAGAAAAGAAATCAGAACGGGTAGCCTTGGGGGGAAAGAGGATAGTTTCAGTTTTGCATCTCTTGAGTCTGAGATTTCTTTGGGATGTGTAGTTGTTATTATCAGGCATTTGGTGACATGAGACTGGAGTTTAGGAGGAAAATGAAGGCTAATATTTAATAGACTATAATTTCCCATAGTTTTAATTCATCACTAACAACCTTCTCTGTTTTTGAGGAGTTTGGTTAACTTTCATCCATCTCACTCCTACCCATTGTCCTATTGTTATATTTTTCTTTTCAGGTTAATATATTTTGGTGGTTATGGATGTAGGAAACACAATGAACTCCAAGACTGTTTTGATGTTCATGATGCATCTTGGGTAAGAAGTTTTACTCTCTGTATTTTTTTATTTGTTCTAAGAGGAGGCTTAATATATTCAGAAGCAGTGGGCCTTCTTTTCATTCATGGGAACTAACAACATGTATTCTAGACAATAAGAGTTTTGCCTGGAAGCTAGATTTGAATCTGATGATGGCCGATACACCTGCTGCAAAGCACTTTTGTTTTTCTTGTTTCAAAAGCCATTCAAAGACATTGCTGCTAAGCAGAGAGATGGTAGCACTATTATAACTGAAAGAATCTACTCACATATAACCATTAAACAGATGTAGTATTCTAGCCATTAGATTTACTCATGAGCCGGAATGACTCCTTCTTAGTACCTGAGGAACATGAAGATGCAAGACTAATCATCCCTTTCTTCTAGAGCAAGGGAATCATCTTTAAATACATCATTATTTATAAGACAAATTTTTAGAGTTTATTGATTTTAAAAAATAATATTATAGTTTTTAATTTAAAGGATTTTAATTCCTCATTGTTTGAATATAAATATATTTTTTTCTTCAGTGAAATCACTAGGGATTTTTTAGTTTCTGAAGCCAGTGTTTTCTTAGATACTCACTTTTACTTGATTTGCTTGTAATTTTCAGAGTATGGAGTTGACTTCTCTGTCCATTTATCTAAGGGCCTATGCAACACAAAGGCTTTGTGTATAGGCAGTAGGGTGGTATGGCTAAAAATACTAATGTAATATTAAGTTGCATTAAGAGAAGTGTAGTGTTCAGGACCAGAGTGATAATATCTGTTCAGTAATGATCAGGCTATATCTGGAGTATTGTGTTTTGTTTTGGGCACCACATTTTATTTTGTTAAAGTTTTATTGATAACTTTTTGTTTTTCTGCATCACAGTTATTTTCTGATATACTACCCCCAGCCCCAAGTCCTCTCTTGTAACAGAAAGAAACAGTTAAACAAAACTGACCCACCAAGACATGCTTGCAGTATATGCAAGATTCCATATTCCTAGTCTCCCTGCCTCCCCTCCCTCCAGCCCCCATTCCCATGACTCCCTCATCTCTTCTGAGGGAGGGGAATTATGTTTCATCATTTATTCTTTGGGACCAAGGTTGGTCATTGCAATTAGTTAGAATTAACGTCCTTTTAGTGTTGTTTTCATTTACATTATTATAGTCATTGTATATGTTCTCCTGGTTATGTTTTCTTTACATGAACATCAGTTCATACAAATCTTACCATATTTCTTCAAACTCTCTCTGTTTACCATGTCTTATGGCACAATAATATTGCATTACATTTTTATACAATAACAGTTTGTTCAGCCATTTCCCAGTTGATGGGTTCCCACCTTGTTTCCAGTTTTTTGCTTCCAAAAAGAATGGGGCTATGAATATTTAGTATATGGTCGCAGAGTATTAACAGTTTAGTGACTTTTTTCGCATAATTCCAAATTGTTTTCCAGAACGGTTGGACCAATTCACAGCTCCACCAACAGTGTATTAGTGTGTCTGAGGCACCCAGGCTGTGGGAAGACATTTTAGGAAGGACATTGATAAGCTGGAGAGCGTCCAGAGGAGGGCGACCAGGATGGTGAAGGGCCTCAAGATCATGCCCTATGAGGATCAGTGGAAGGAACTGGGGATGTTTAGCCTGGAGAAGAGACGACTTAGGGGGCACATGATAGCTGGCAGCGTGGTGTAGTGGAAAGAGTTCTGGATTTGGAAGTCAGAGTACCTGGGTTGAAGTCCCAGCTGGGATGCTTACTACCTGTGTGGCTTTGGGCAAGTCACTTACTTTCTCTGGGCCTGAGTTTCCTCACTGTAAAATAAGGGAGTTGGACCATATGATCTCTGAGGTCACTTCGAGCTTTAAATCCAATAATTCTATGAATATTTGGAGGACTGTCGTGTAGAAAGAAGATGTGTTCTGCTTGTCTCCTAGGAACGATGGGTGGGCCTTGAAAAGTGTTGTTTAGTTATGATGTTAAAAAAAAACAACACCAAAACCCAAAACTTCTAAAAGTTTAGAGCTATCCAAAAGTAGAATGGTTGGCTTTGAGAGGTAGTGGGCTTCTCCTCACTGTAGGTCTTTAAGCAAGGGCTGGATGATCATTTGGGTATATTGTAAAGGGTATTCTTGATTAGACACAGGCCATATAAAATGGCCTCTGAGGTCCTTTCCTATTGAAATTGTATGATCCTGTTCTCATTCAGACTAAATTCATCAGATAAATGTTTGATTCTCTACATCCCTTTCTTAGGGAAGACTTGATCAAAACAGTTGGCTTAGTAGCCTCTTCCAAACTGAAAAAAGGCAGTTGAATAAGTAATATGTTAAAAAGTCCATTTTTATATAGTGCCTGTTCTGTTTTTAAAATTTATATAGTCATTGGTTTTATGACCATAATAATAATTTGATTATTTATATTTTGTCTTATATATTCATAAATTAAGGGTTTTATAAGAAGTAAAATATTCTTTACTTTTTTTTTCTGTTTTAGGAAGGACAGATATTCTGGGGTTGGCATAATGATGTCCATGTTTTTGATACAAACACACAGACTTGGTTTCAGCCAGAAATTAAAGTGAGTAAAATCAACTTTAATTTTATATTCATTAGCTTTATTTATATCCATTATTTATTTTTCTATTTTATAGTAACAATTCATCAAATCTCATTTTCTAATGGATAATTTAGATCTTAGTTGGATTATCATTAGTACAAAGTAGTTCACTGGAGTACCTTTATCAGTAGTGTGGAAGGCAACAAATTCTTTCACAAATGAGTTTAATTTTTTTTTGAGGAAAAGATTTTTTTTTTAAGGCAGTTGGGGTTAAGTGACTTGCCCAGGGTCACATAGCTAGTGTCAGGTGTTTGTTGTGAGGTCAAATTTGAACTCAGGTCCTCCTGACTTCAGGACCAGTGCTCTATCCACTGCACCACCTAGCTGCCCCTGAAGAAAAGATTTTTAAAGAGGTTTCATCATCTTTTCCTGCCCTTTGATTATAGTGATACTTCAGTTTAACAGAATTCTAGAAAGTGTTTCTTTTTCCTTTTTTTTTTTTTTTGGCAAGGCAGTTGGGGTTAAGTGACTTGTCCAGAGTCACACAACTAGTGAGTGTTATGTGTCTGATGCCAGATTTGAACTTGGCTCTGCTCCTGACTCCAGGGCCAGTGCTCTATTCACTGTACCACCTAGCCTCCCCAATGTTTCTCTTTATGTAACAAAGTCCATTAAAAAAACAAATCATGCAAAGCAGATCTGTAAACATTCATAGTAAGAAATGACCAAAGTATTTTGAGCACACCCTCCATTTGTCCTTCCCAGTTGAAGGTGAAACAGTCTTTAAACTTTGCCTTTTCCCATATTGGTGGTTTATTTTAGGTGAGACTCTCAGTGCCCTTTGTACTTTCTTTTCTTTTTTTTTCTTTTTGCTAGGCAGTGGGTTTAAGTGACTTGCTCAGAGTCACACAGCTAGTGTCAAGTGTTTAGTGTGAGGTCAGATTTGAACTCTGGTCCTCCTGACTCCAGGGCCAGTGCTCTCTCCACTGCGCCACCTACCAACCTGGAGCCAGAGGACTTTCAGGCCTACTTGCTTTCCTAAGGATAGCTATTTATCATTGCTAATTTGGCTCTGAAAATCCTCTACTATCTTTAATGAAACTAGTTAGTCATTATTTTGCCGCTCCTAAGCCAAAATGACTGATGAGGACAAAGAAATCTTTAATATGTGAGGAGAAAAGACAGACTACAGAGACAGTAATGCTTAAATAATGGCCTTTGTATATAATCAGTACTTTTTAGAATGTATTTTTAACTACTCATTTACATGAACAATTTTTATCAGTCTTTTTATGATGTGTAAAGTAGCCGTGTAACTGTTACATTAACAGTTTTGTAACACTCCTTTTGAAGTTTTGTGTTCATTCAAGGCTAAAATTTCAAATATGGTGTTCTGTTTGCATGCTTTACAGAATGGAATTCCACCACAGCCTCGAGCAGCTCACACATGTGCAGTACTTGGAAATAAGGGCTATATTTTTGGAGGACGAGTATTGGTTAGTGTGTTTACAATGAAAAGGGTGGTTTTGGTTTATGAAGATCTTCATAGTCTGTACTATCCTCTAGTCAAATAGTGATGCAAATTACATATTTTTTTTAAAATTTAGGTATAAGAGTGATCTCTAGCTAGTTTATCCCTCTCCTTCCACACAAGACTTAAATATAAAAAGTCCCAGACATATGTATACAGTCCTACTTTTTAAAGGGAGAGACATTTTATTTTCATATTTAAAACCCTTGTCAGTGAATTCTTTTTCAGGTGTATTCTTAATCCTTAATACTTTAAGTTCAGTTCTCTTTCTGTCTTAAATTAATTGCATCTTATATTTAATATTACTAATGTTAGCTCTATTTCCAGTTTTATATATTCTATGGTTGTGGAATTTAACTATATCCCATTTTTAATCATCTGATAGTTTCACAGAGTCTAAGAAGAAATCACAGATTATATATATGCTTAAAAGTACATATATAAACATATAATTTTATACCACATATGTATATGTACAGTCATATATATCATACTTTAAAGTTTATAAATGCTTTTCTTACAACGATGTAAAGATTTGTAATATAAATATTTAGAAAATATGTTGTGTAGTTCACCATCTAATTTAACTTTATTTTATTTTAGCAAACTAGGATGAATGATTTGCACTGTCTGAACTTAGATACTTGGACTTGGTCTGGAAGGTAAGCTTGAAATAGCAATATGACAGATTGAGATTTTTTTAATTTTTTACCACTGAGAAAAACAATAGGGAGGATTTCACTGGTAGGTGAAGGGGAATGGTTGGAATTTATTGCTCAGTTTAAACTGAAAACAAAATGGAATGGAATAGAAAAGTATTTATTAAGCTCTTACTATGTGACAAGCACTGAGGGTACCAAACGAAAATTGAGATGATCCCTGTTCTCAAGTAGCTCACGTTTTAATTGAATGCGAAAACACACAAAGGAGGGTTCAATTTAATGGCAAATAGAAAGGCCAAATAATACTTAGTTTCTGGCAGGCAAAGTAAGATTTAGAAGGCAAAGCCTTGAGGACCTTAGGGAGTAATAGCAGATGAGATGATCTCTGAACTATAGACAGTGGGTCACAAGGGTCAGAGTAGAGTGAGGCTCTAGAATACTTCCAGAAGAGGCAGATTTGGGGTATTCAGTATCCAGCTCAGAATGGGTATCCAGCACCTGGTGAGAACTGAGCAATGGAAGTTAGATTGGGGCAAGGTATGTGGCTCCAATTGCCAATTGGAAAAGATTAGGGAAAGGCTGAGTTTGGAAGGCTAGGTTTTATGCATAACCAATAACATATTAAAAAAAATGTTGAGATATATTTAACTGTACATGTTAAATGTGAAGCATATAATTTTAAAATACATATAAATAACCCCCCAGATCACTTTTATATTTGATTTGACTTTAGTTCCATCAGTATGTATATATGTGTATTTGTGTGCGTGTAACATATGGAGAGGGATAAGTATTCCGCCTGTGATGTTAATTATACAGTTACTTGCTGTACGGGAACCCACTGAATCTGCCTTCCAAAGAGGAACCTAGCGAAGGCCTATCCCCTGTAGGTTTTAGTAGCTACAAGATGATACATTCTTTGACGGTGGTATAAGGTCTGTAATGCCCCCACCTGGGGAATCCCCACAAACAGTGGGACAAGTTTCATACCAAAGGAAGAGGCCAAGGAGTTCCAGATTGATTATAAGTAGTAGTTTAATCACTGGGGTTACTTACATTGGGTGCCAGTGTGATGGATCCCTGCCAAGAGTTCAGATAATCAGTGGTCTAGGGTGGCAGCCAGACCAGTGGTGGATCCCTGAAAAAGAATGCCAGAAATCCCTGTGGTAAATTATCGAAAACAAAGGGAGGAGGAGCTAGAGAGTGCATTACTACCGATTGGTGGATATTTTTGGTTTTCTCCTTAGTAATGAACTTGGGCATTAAGCCAATATTGTGCCCAAACATAAGTTTGTGTATTGATCATGTGTTGGTTACATATGAGTCATGTTATTTTTGTTATGGCTTTCATAGGTCATAGTATCTAAGTTTTGACTCGGTGTCTAAATTATGATTCAGTATCTAAGTTATGATTTTTTTAACAAGTTACCCTGTTTGGGCTTCCACCTTTTACAGAGTTTAAGTTTTTATGCCTTTTTACTTATTTAAATGTTTAAGTATTTCATGGCTTTTCCCCAACTGGGACCACACAGTGGCCACAGAAAAAAAAGAAACAAAGAAATATAAAATGGCCTTCAGTCACTTCGGCTTCTTCAGTGACAGTGGGAGAATCATGGAAAAGAGAACAGAGGATTTTAAAAATCATGTAGTTTTTAGACTGTCTATTTATTTAACAATGACCAGTGAGTTGAAATACTACTGAAAGATCTCACCCATATTTATACTGACAACATTGTCATTATGTTCTAGTGGGAATTACACATACTATGCAATCCAGTAATAATTTATTGAGGAACTGCTGTATACACGGCTTTTGGCTAGGCATTAGGAATACAAAAAAACAAAACAAAAAACAGCCCCTGCACTTAAGGAGCTTACATTTTACTGGAGGCATACAGCATGTAAATAGACAAGCATATAGATGATAATTTGGGGAGGAAGAGTACTCACAACTTGGAAAATCAGGAAAATCTTTTTGTAGGAGAAGGCACAGAAGCTGAGTCTTTGATGGAGATTAGGAATTCTGATATGCAGAGATGAGGAGGATATACATTCTGGGTATAGGGGACATACTTTAAATGAAACCCAGCAGTTAGGTGGTGAAGTAGATAGAGCAGGGGACCTGGAGTCAGGAACACCTGAGTTCAGATCTGGCCTCTGACACTTACTAGCTGTATGATCCTGAGCAAATCGCTTAACCCCATTTCCCTCAGTTTCCTCATTTGTAAAATAAGCAGAAGAAGGAAATAGCAAATGACTCCAGTATCTTTGCCAAGAAAACCCCAGGTGGGGTCATGAAGAGTTAGATATGACTGAAACACAATATACTGGCTTCTTTCCTGCTGCCTACAATACTTATTCTCCTCCATCCTTAAAAACTCTCATTTGATCCTTCCATTCTCACTAGCATTCTTATTGTATTTTTCTTCCACTTAGTGGAGAATGCTATGATAAATATCCCCACTGTCTCTCCTTTCATTCTCTTCTAAACTCATATATTGACAAGTTTTGCCAATTACCCCCTCTTCTCTTTTTTTCTTTAAAAACTTTTGTTATATGGGATGGTTGTCTTAACTTGGGGAGGGGAAGGGATACTGAGAGAAATTGTGGTGAGGTAAAAAAAGGCAAAGATCAGTAAAAAATTTATTTTGAAAGGGAATGTGGTATCGGTAATCTTAGGAAAATATACTAGGACTAATAGATCATTTTAGAACAATGGACACTTAGAGAAATATAATTACTAGAATAAGGCAGAAATGGCATATGAGGAGGCAATTAAACATGAGTTTGAAATGTTTTTGGCACCTATTTCTATGACTCATGAAGAGGTAACATAGATTAGAATATTTGGCAAATTTTCATATCTAGTTAGGATTTTTCAAAGAAATAGTGATTTTAAAAAATTATGAGGTACAGGGCAGCTAGGTGGTGCAGTGGATAGAACACTGGCCCTGAAGTCAAGAAGACCTGAGTTCAAATCTGGCCTGAGACCAAACACTTGACACTTGCTAGCTGTGTGACCCTGGTTAATCTAATTGCCTAAAAAAAAAAATTCAAACCCTTTCTTTTGTTCAATATGATTAAAGCACTGTCCTTAATTTTTTCCCTTTCAACACAGAATTCGTACTAATGGAGAAAAACCAAAACATCGGTCTTGGCATACTTTGACGCCAATTGCTGACGATCAGCTTTTTCTGTTTGGTGGATTAAGTGCAGAGAATATTCCTCTAAGTGAGTAGAAATGCTATTTAGTCTCAGTTGCGATTTTACCACTTCCCCTTTAACTATTAGTTGTTGTTAGTTCTTTTTCTCTTTTGTACCTATTCTCTATGGTCTCTTCCCAAATTTTTTTCACCTTTCAAATTATTTTTTCCCCACACATGTAATAGCCATTAAGTTTTAGATATAGAATGAATTTTGTAGTAATATACAGATTGTTATATGCAGAACAGGAATTTGGCTTTTTCCTCTGCTTCCAAAATAGAAATTGACACACCTGATTGATCATATTTGGAACTGGAATGGGGGATTAGGAATTTAGTATGTCTTCCAGGAGGCTCAGTGAAGGAGATTTTAATGAGTCAGTTTTTTATTTGTGCTTCAGAAATCTTTTTAAAATTTTCATTTTTTATTATAATTAATAAACATGAACATTTTAGTGTACAAATAAGAAAAAAAAGAAGATTGTATTTGAAACCATAAACTTCTTTTACGGTTTGTTTTTAAAAAAAAATGTATCTTAAGTTTAACATAATTCTAATAAAATTGCCCTGTTCATGTCCCCTTCTGATTTCCTTCTTAAGTGTCCTTTTTTTTTAATTTAAATTTTTGGTTATTATGATCTTGACAAGTGCCAACAAACATGAACATCTCCTTATAGAAAGAACAAACAATTGCATATGAAACTAAGAATCTCTATCATGTCTACCCCTTTTCCTTTTCAAAAGTACATAATAAGGGGGCAGCTAGGTGGCACAGTGGATAGAGAATGACCCTGGAGTCAGGAGGACCTGAGTTTAAATCCGGCATCAGACACATAACACTAGCTGTGTGACTCTGGGCAAGTCACTTAACCCCAATTGCCTCACAAAAACAAAAGTATATAATAAGTTCAGTATGTTAGTTTTAAAGCAGCTCTGTTTATCTGTGTTTCCCTCTGAACCTTCTGTTCTCGTTTTACCTTCCCAGTCTTCTTACACCTTGCATAATGCTTTCTGCCCTCCTCCTCCTAACACACACAGGTGCTGTTTGATCTAGTGACACTAAATTCCTTGTTGTTCTTGAACAAAGAGACTCTTATATCTGGGCGCTGGACATTTTCATTGGTAGTCCCAAATGTTCTCCTCATCCCTACCTCCTGGCTTTCCTGGCTTCCTTCAGGTCCCAACTAAAATCACACCTTCTACAGGAAGGCTTTCCTAATCCCTCTTAATTCTAGTGTCTTACCTCTGTTGATTATTTAATTTTTATCAGACATATAACTTATTTGTACATAGTTGTTTTCATGTTGTCTCCCCCATTAGATTAGAAATTCCTTGAGGGCAGGAATTATATTTTGCTCTTTTCTTCCACAGCACTTAGACATAGTAGGCTCTTAATAAGTACCTTTTGACTGCCTGACAGTGCAGCATGGCATTGTTTGGACTGGAACAACACTGGCACCAAAGACTCTTAAGGACGGTAGCACCCTGTCCTGAGATGCCATTGAGGCCTCTGAAGATCCACTGTTCAAATCCTCAGAAATCCAGGGGCTGTTTAACCCTAGGAAGTGGAAGTCAGTACAAATACCTTAGGTGACCAGGGCAAGACCAAGCAGAGCCAACCATGCTGACAAAAGTGCAGGAGAGGGCAAAGGCTGTCCCAGGAACAAAGCTCTAATTCAGGAACTAAACCTGGAGAGACTGATTAAACCAGAGAAGACGCTGATCAATTTCTTTTTTTTTTTAATATAAATTTGTTTACTTTTAGTTTTCAACATTCACTTCCACAAGTTTTTGAGTTCCAAATTTTTACCCCATCTCCCCCCTCCCCCCACCCCAAGATGTCATGCATTCTGAATATCCCTTTTTTTAAAACATATGTTTTTAAAACTTTAGGTTTCAAATTTTCTGTCTTCCTCCCTCCCCACCCACCCTCATTGAAAAGGCAAGCAACTCAATATAGGTTGTACATGTGCAGTTATGCAAAACATGTCCAAGGTAGACATGTTGTGAAAAACTAACTCTATTTCCCTTAATCCTATCCTGCCCTCCCATTTATTCTATTCTTTCTTTTGACCCTGCCCCTCTATTTACTTCTATTACCCCCTTTCCCAATCTGCCCTCCTCTCTGTCATCCTCCTGTTCTCTTGTCCCCTTCTCCCCCTGTTTTCCTGTAGGGTAAGACAGATTTCCATACCCAATTGAATGTGTATGTTATTCCCTCCTTAAGCCAAATCCTATGAGAATAAGATTCACTCATTCCCTCTCACCTTCCCCTGTTTCCCCTTCCACTGTAAGAGACTTTTCTTTCTGGGTTTTTTTTTTTTGTGAGATAATTTACCCCATTCTACCTCTCCCTTTCTTCTTCTCCGAGTATAATCCTCTCTCATCCCTTAATTTTATTCTCCAGATATGACCCCTTAATCTTCACTCACCCTGTGCCCTCTATCTATCTATCTACATATACATACATATAATTTTTTTCCTCCAACTACCCTAATACTGACAAAGGTCTCATGAGTTATAAATATCATCTTTCCATGCAGGAATGTAAACAGTTCAATCTTAATAAGTCTCTTATGATTTCTCTTTCCTGTTTACCTCTTCATGTTCCACTTGAGTCCTGTATTTGAAAGTCAAATTTTCTATTCAGCTCTGGTCTTTTCATCAAGAATGCTTGAAAGTCCTCTATTTCACTGAATGACCATTTTTTTCCTGAAGGATTATACTCAGTTTTGCTGGGTAGGTGATTCTTGGTTGTAATCCTATCTCCTTTGCCCTCTGGAATATTATATTCCATGCCCTGCGGTCCTTTAATGTAGAAGCTGCTAAATCTTGTGTTATCCTGATTGTGTTTCCACAGTACTTGAACTGTTTCCTTCTGGCAGCTTGTAATATTTTCTCCTTGACCTGGGAACTCTGGAATTTGGCTATAATATTCCTAGGAGTTTTCCTTTGGGGATCTCTTTCAGGAGGAGATCTGTGGATTCTTTCAATTTCTATTTTGCCCTCTGGTTCTACTATATCAGGGCAGTTTTCCTTGATAATTTCTTGAAAGATGATGTCTAGGCTCTTTTTTTGATCATGGCTTTCAGATAGTCCAATAATTTTTAAATTCTCTCTCCTGGATCTATTTTCCAGGTCAGTTGTTTTTCCAATGAGATATTTCACATTGTTTTCTAATTTTTCATTCTTTTGGATTTGTTCTACTGTGTCATGATTTCTCATAAAGTCACTATCTTCCAATTGCTCTATTCTAATTTTTAAGGAAGTATTTTCTTCAGTAATCTTTTGGACTTCCTTTTCCATTTGGCCAATTTTTCTTTTTAGGGCATTTTCTCCTCATTGGCTTTTTGGACCTCTTTTGCCATTTGGGTTAGGCTATTTTTTAAGGTGTTATTTTCTTCAGTATTTTTTTGGGTCTCCTTTAGCAAGCTGTTGACTTGTTTTTCATGATTTTCTTGCATCACTCTCATTTCTCTTCCTAGTTTTTCCTCTACTTCCTTACTTGCTTCTCAAAATCCCTTTTGAGCTCTTCCAAGGCCTGGGACTGATTCATATTTTTCTTGGAGGCTTTGGATGTAGGAGCTTTGACTTTGTTGTCTTCTTCTGGTTGTATATTTTGATCTTCTTTTTCACCAAAGTAAGATAATATAGTCTGACTCTTTTTGCACTGCTTGCTCATGATCCCAGCCAATTACTTGAGTTTTAAACTCTTTGTTAAGGTAAGAATCTGCTTCCAATGTGGAGAATGTACTTACTGTCCCAAGCTTCAGGGGGTTTGTACAGCTGTTTTCAGAGATACTTGTAGGGCCCTGTAAATTTTCAGTTCTTCTAAGGTGGTATGATAAGGGGTGAGGTGTTTACTCCTTTCCTGGCCTGCGACTACAAGTACTCCTTTCTGTCCTGTAACTGTGAGGAGGGGCTCCTCTTCACAATCACTACAAGCTCCACCAAGCCAGTGCTCCTCCTCACCCCAGTACCGCCGCCCAGAACTGTGGCCCAGATCAAAACAAGGGCAGAGCAAGAGATTCCTGCCTCAGCACTGGGAAAGAGATCCCTGCAATCCCTCTCTGATCAGCCACTGGATTCCCCCTCAATCTGTGGGCCAGAAGCTCAGGAAGCAGTCCCGTCCCTCCCCCCCCAAGCGCCACACTGTTGGGGAATGGAGCTGAAATCCCGCCTTCCTTTCTCAGCACCGACAGAAACAGACTTTTCCCACTGACCTTCTAAGTTGTCTTTGGCATTGGTGGATTGAGGAGTCTGGAAACCGCCACAGCTGCCCAAGATTCAGTCCTCTGAGGCCTGCTCCAGGTTCGCTGTGGCCTGCGTGCCCACGCTGCTCTGCGCTGTGCTCCCAGCCCAGCACAATACACCTTTCTGATCAATCATCCAGGTTGTCTTGAGCTGGAAATTTGTTTCACTCTGTCTTTTTGTGGATTCTGCTGCTTCAGAATTTGTTTAGAGCCATTTTTTAATGAGTATTTGCAGTGGTTTGGAGGAGAGCTCAAGCAAGTCACTGCTTTCACTCCACCATCTTGGCTCAGCCTGATCAATTTCAATCAATCATTAAATCAATAAGCATTCATTAAGTACCTCCTATGGGCCAGAAACTGCTAAACTCTGAGTATACAAAAAAGTAAAACCAAAACAAAGCAGTTCATGTTCTCAAGGTGCTCATAGTCCAAAAGAGGAGTCAACATGCAAACAACTAGGTAGAAACACAATAAACAGGATAAATTGGATATAAACAGTAGAGAGAATGCATAAGCTTTAAGGGGGATGGGAAAGGCTGTTTATAAAAGATAGAATTTTAGATGAGACTTGAAGGAAACCGGGAGATGAAGAATTCCAGTTACTGGAGACCAGTGAAAATGACCAGATAGAGTGTCTTGTGTGAGGACAATAGAGATGCAAGTGTCACTGGATTAAAGACTGTATGAGGGAAGTAAGATGTAATAAGACTGGAAAGAGGTAGAATGAAGCCAGGTTATGAAGGGCTTTTTAAGACAAATAGAGTTCCCCAATTGATAAATGGTCAAAGGATATGAACAGGCAGTTTTCAGATGAAGAAATTAAAGCTATCTATAATCATATGAAAAAATGTTCTAAATCACTATTGATTAGAGAAATGCAAATCAAAACAACTTTGAGGTACCACATCACACCTATCAGATTGGCTAACATGACAAAACAGGAAAGTGATAAATGTTGGAGAAGATGCGGGAAAACTGAAATACTAATGCCTTGCTGGTGAAGTAGTGAATTGATCCAACCATTCTGGAGAGCAGTTTGTAACCTATAAAATTTGCATACTCTTTGATCTAGCAATACCACTACCAGATCTATATCCCAAAGAGATGATAAAAAAGGGAAAAGGACCCACATGTACAAAAATATTTTTAGCAGCTCTTTTTGTGGTGGCTAAGAACTGGAAATTGAGGGAATGCCCATCAGTTGAGGAGTGGCTGAACAAATTGTGGTATATGAATGTATATGTGGTATACGAATGTATATGTGGTATATGAACAAATTTTGGTATATGAACATAAATGATGAGCAGGTGAATTTCAGAAAAACCTGGAAAGACTTGTATGGACTGATGCTCAGTGAAGTGAGCAGAACCAAGAGAACATTGTACACAGTAACAACAACATTGTGTGATGATCTACTGTGATAGACTTCTTAGTCTTCTCAGCAGTACAATGATCTAAGACAGTTCCAAAAGACTCATGATGGAAAATGCTGTCCACATCCAGAGAAAGAACTATGGATTCTGAATGCAGATCGAGGCATACTATTTTCTGTTGTTTTGTTTATTGTGATTTTCCCCTTTTGTTCTGATTCTTCTTTCACAACATGACTAATGTGGAAATATGTTTAATATGATTGTACATAATATAGCCTGTATCATATTGCATGCCATCTTGGGGAGGAGAGAGAGTGAAAAAATTTGGAATTCAAATTCTTATAAAAGTGAATGTTGAAAACTGTCTTTACACATAATTGGAAAAAATGTAATACTACTAAATGGGGGAAAATTTTTTTAAATTAAAAAAAAGAAAAAAATAAAGGATTCTATATTTAGTCCTGGAGTTGCTAGAGAGTGGTAAATAGAATAGAATAGAAAGTAGTAAACCTTACCCAAGTAACGAGTCCCTGAAAAGTAGAGTAAACCAAACAACGAATTACTCCATGAGACAGCAAGAAATATTAAAACAATATTTTTATATTTTAAATATTAAAACAAAACCAAAAGACTGAAAAATAGAAGAAAATGTAAAATATTTGATATTAAAAAACTTGGAAAAGAAGTCAAGGAGATATAGTTTAAGAGTCATTGAACTCCCCAAAAATCATGATAAAGCTTAAACACTACATGTTAAGAAATAATAAAAACTACATAGATGTTGTGGAACAAGATGGCAAAGTGAAGGTAGAAAGAATTCTACTGATCCCCGCCTAAAAGAAACCCCAAAAGGAAAAGTCCCAGAAATTTCATAGCCTAATCCAGAACTTTCACATCAAATAAAAGTACTGCATTCATACAAAAAGTTCAAGTAACAAAGAACCACAGTTAGGATCATACATTTGAGAAATTTGGAAGGGGATATATTATGATATAGTGCAAACATCTTAATGAGGGAAAAGAATCAAGTGACTCTTTAGAACCTTAATGTCTGCAAAGAATATTGAGAACTAAACAAAAAAATAACAAGACGTATGGGTGGTTCGTTTCTTTTCTGAGAGGGGAAAGAGATAGAAAGATAAAAGAAATACAGTAGTATAGAAAGAAGGGAGGGGTAGAACTTTCCAGTTCTCATATATGGGATGCATGGTTAGAAAGGTACATAAATGTGGAGGAAAATGTGGGTTAGTGAGCGTCAGATGAACCTCGCTCATATCTGAATTGTACAAAGGAGGGGTAAACTCTCTTTCTCTCTCTCCCCTCCCTTTGTCAGTTTGACATAGAAATGCGTCAAACTCAACAGGAAAAAAATAAAAGGCAGGGAAGGAGAATAAATTACCCAGGAGGAAGTTGCAAACAAAACCAAGTTCATGATCCTGAAGGAAGGATTAAATTTTGAGGGAAGAACAACAAAGAATTAGAATTCTATGATGGAATTCTATGAATTAGGGAATGACTGAAAGAAATTGTAATATATAAATGTAATGGAACATTATTATTCAATAAAAATGACAAAAGATACTACTGTAGAGAATCCTGGTTAGTATGAATTGATAAAGAGTGAAATGAGCCGAACCAGGACAAAAATTTATAGCAACAAATTACGTCAACAACACTGTAAAGAAAAACTCATTAGAAAGACTTAAGATCTCTGATCAATGCAGTGGCCAACCATGTCTCCAAAGAACCTATTATGAAGCACATTAGCCACCCCTTGCCAGAGGACTCCAGGTGCAGAGACATTTGTTTTTGGATGTGGCTGCTGCGTGAATTACTTTTGCTTGCTTATGCTGTTATAAAGGTTTCTTTTTTTCTTTCCAGTTAATTGGGGAGAGATTTTTTTCTTTTAGAGGAGAAGAAAGGGTGGGAGTAGCAATTGTAATGCTAAGAAAAACGAGGATCATTGGGAACATTTTTTAAACCTTTTTAAAAATTTTATTCATTTATTTTGATTTATCAACAATCACTTCCATATGCTTTTGAGTTGAAAATTTTTCTCCCCCTTCCTCCCCCCCTCCTTCCCCAAGATGGTGCACAATCTGATATGGGCTTTACATTTACATTCCTATTAAACATATTTTCACATTAGTGAAATTGTAAGTAAAAATTAAAACCAATAAGAGGAACCATCAGAAAGATGAAACAAAACTCAACAGAAGGTAAAAATAAATGATAGCGATTCAACTTCCATAGTTCTGTCTTTCGATGTAGACAGCATTTTCCATCCAGAGGCCTCTGGAGATGTCTTAGATCCTCGTAATGCTGAGAAGGGTTCAGTTTAACAATATTAGTCATTGCATAACGTGGCTGTTATTGTGTACAAAGTCCACTTCACTCAGCATCAGACTATGTAAGTCTTTCCAGGTTTTTCTGAAGTCAGCCTGTTCATCATTTCTTATAGCACAATAGTATTCCATTACATTCATAAACCACAACTTGCTCAGCCATTCCCCAATTGATGGGCATTCTCTCAATTTCCAATTCTTTGCCACCACAAAAAGAGCTGCTGTGAATATTTTTGTACATGTGGGTCCTTTTCCCATTTGTTTGACCTTTTTGTGATACAGCCCTAGAAGTGCTATTGCTGGATCAAAGGGTATGAATATTTTTGTAGCCCTTGGGGCATAATTCCAAATTGTTCTCCAAAATGGTTGGATCATTTCACATCTCCACCAACAATGTATTAGTGTTCCAGTTTTCCCACATCATCTCCAACATTTATCATTTTAAGCAGGATAGTTTTAAAAGTAATTTGTAGAATTTATCATATACTTTTTAAGCAAGTGGCATGAAATAGATTCACAGTTTCATTTAGACTTTGCTTTTGTTTTCTGCTGGGTACATAGAAATGTTATTTTTTGATGTTTAAGTTTAGATTAGGAAATACTAAATTTAAAAAATGAAAACTAATACGAATATGGGTATAAATTATTCTTTAGGGATACTTTCTAGTTCTTGGGAATATTACATAGTATAATAGAATAGTTATTTACTAAAATGTCAACAATTGTGGAAATTTAGAAAAGAACAAATAATTAAATCATAGCATTTCAGCAAGGATTATTTGTAACATCATCTGTTGTTCTAAACCAGTCTTTCTATTCCTGATCATTGACCTATGAATGAAGCAGAATGAATTTTTAGTACTTTGTAAACTGTAAAGAGCCATTGCATTATTATTTGAGCTATTTTAGTCCAGTCCAGTTTAGCATAATATATGTTCATATATGCATATCCTAGAAAGTTGACAGATAAATTTAGAGAAAAATTAAAACTGTGAAAGAAACTTAAGCTTTATTTCTAATATGTCATGATACTACAGGTGATGGGTGGATTCACAATGTTATAACAAATGGTTGGAGACAGCTTACACATTTACCTAAGACAAGACCCAGGTAAGTGTAAAAAGTTAGCACACAATATTGAATAATTAAATGTTTTGAAAAGTTTTAAAGCATAGCATGGAATCAGAATTTTTGTTAATATAAAAACAAAATATCAGAATGTTTTCTTAATTTGATGTTATCTGAAGAATTCATGTGATAGTTAAATTATAATCCATTTAGTAGAAATATTTCACCGATGTTTCATTTATGTTGCATACTTGAGTATATTACTCTTTTAGATTAAGTGGATGATCCTATCTGATAAAGGCAATAGACACTAAGATGCTGAAAGTTATTGCTATTTTTAGTATTTATATTTAAAGCATTCTTTTATGGGTTATGGTGGTGGCAGTAGGAATTTACTTTTTGGAAAGTTTTAAAGTTAGTTGAGAAATTTGAATCTAAGTCAATTTGATGGGGTGCTTGGGCCCCAGCCCTAAGATCATGTCTCTGGAAGCCTCCCAATTTCTCAGTAGGCCCCTATCCTATGAGAAAATTTCTTCTTGTTGTGGAGCACTTTCTCTTATCAGAACAGACAGAGGGGTACCTGGCTCAAGGATTTTTGCCCCTGGCTGACCCAAGGACTTTTCCTCCAGTTAGATCGCCAAGGTCCATGCCTCTGACAATTCCCTAAATATCTGGTATACTTCTTATACTTTCCCATTTATAGCTCCCAAAGACCCTTGGACCCTTAGATTACCTAATTAATGTCCCTGGCATTCCTTTCCCATGCCCTTTTTCCATATAAACCCCAGTACCATTCTCAGTCTCTTGCTGGGTTCCCATAAGGACCCTTGTCTGCTTTTGCTAAAGTGTTACAATAAACTTTTTGCCACTTTGCTAAGAGAAGGCTTGAGTGTGTGAATTCATTCCAGACAACTCTGCCTTGGCATTCTTGGGGTCCCAGCACTCCCAAAACCTCTTCAAATTTGGATTGTGGAAAACCGTATTACTGTGTATAATTCCTACTTAATTGTGTGACCGATTTAATCCTATTGAATTACTTGAAAATTTGGGGCACAGCTAGGTGGCACAGTGGATAGAGCACCGGCCCTGAAGTCAGGAGGACCTGAGTTTAAATCCGGTCTCAGACACTTGACACTTACTAGCTGTGTGGCTCTGGGCAAGTCACTTAACCCCAATTGCCTAAATAAAAAAATTTGAAGTACATTAGAAATCATAAAATTTTGGAAATAATGGTGGACTACAAAAAATATTTTGAGGCTATATTCTATTTTAGGATTTTCTAGTATAATTAGTAGTAAATTACGTTAATTTAAATCTCTGAAGGGAATTGTCAGTTGAATGCAGTTTAAGAATTGTTATTGTTAATAATGGACTTCAGTTTAGATTTTTCATGTCATAGCTTTCAGAAATTTTTTCTACTATGTTATTCATATTGAAATAAAGTAAATAGTATAATGATTTTTCTAGTATTTTTATTTAATGAATTGATGTTTACTAACCTCTTTAACAAAAGGGGCTGAAAATCTTTAACATGAACTAATTATATGTCAAGTGCAGAAGCACAGTAAGAATTTAACATGTTTTCATTGTCTATAGAAATATTATTCCTGGATTGTTTTTCAGTTATAATAATTGGTCAGAATGTACCTTTTAGCATGTCTAGAAAAATCAGGATTTTTTATCCCTTAATTTATAATGCTAATTTTAAGATTGGTAGTAGAAATAAAAGTATTTTTTTAAAAAGTTAATTTTTCCTTGAATGTTATATTTCAGCCCTTGTTAAGCACTTATTAAGAGCAATAAAACTATTATCAATATAATCCTAGATAGAACTATGTAAAAAGATTTCTTTTCATTCAGCTGATGTGTCATGTAAATAATATGCTTTATTAGAATGTTTAGGTGATAAGTTAGAGCAGCTGTGAGAGGACATAAACTGTCAGAGTCTGTAGAAAAAAACATCAGGTTGCAAGCTAGAATGTCACCAAAATCAAGGCAGGAAAGGCTTTCCAGTGTTCCTCGAAGATCAAGTCCAGGCCAGAATTTTCCTAAGGCAGATAAGACAGAGGCAGATCTATCTTCAGGTATGAGGTGAGGAAGAGAAAAGGTGGGATATAGTTTAGTGTAAGGGAACAGTGAATGTTTACTGAAAAATTTTTTTTAATGAAATAGAGAATTTAGTTTGTCTACATTCAGTTTGTTCTAATTTTTTCCCAATGGTTCAAAATATAATCTGCCCAATTCTCCCCTTGTAGTTTTACAAAGCAGAACATACAATATGAAAAAATCTCTTTGGTTCTCCTTCCCAAAATTCTCTTGAACCAGAGCTTAAGCTTGGTTTGAGTAAACAATGGCTGGAACAATAGCTATGAGGTTTTCCTTTATGTCTATGTCACTAAGAGAAACTCAGTAAAATATTCGAGTAGGTCTTTAGGAATTATTGTTCTGCTCCAAAGATTATTCCCAAGGTACATATTTTCTTCCCCATGATAATGAATTACCCCCTTTTCATAGGTGGGCTTTTTTTTTTTCCATTTCACCTTTCTCCCTTGTACCTCAGAAGCCTTGGGATAGCTAGGGTGGTGTTAGTCGTTGGGGCTGCTGGGGAATGGGAAGTTACTATTGTGTCAAAACAAAATGTATCAATTAAAAAAAAAGATATGTGATTTTTACTATGTGTTTTTACTGAAGATTTACCTGAATTCTGATTTATGAATTGGAGAATTGGGCAGAATATTCCCTAAAGTAAACTCTCTTGATCTAGTTCTGATCTATGGTCTCAAGTACACTGGCCACTGAACTTGTGTGTCAGTGTTTGAAAAAATCATTTAGCCTGAGGGGCAAATTATATATATTTCATTGTGTGCAGTTGTGGAAGCCAAGCAAAAAAACCCTAATCTACTCAAGTTATATGGTAACAAAAATAAGAAATAATGATTGTTGCCATAATATTTTGATTAATTATTAAGTAAATAATAAAACAAAAGTCTTCTCAAAGAGTCTCTATCAAGCAGCACTTTCAGTGGCTTCATCAAAATTTTTAATTATTCCTTAGAATTGGAGAATAAGTTTTTAAATCTTGCATTTATTTTTTTTCCTGAGAGTTGGAACTTGCTGAAATATAATGTTGCTGTAAAACTATGAAATTGGTTCTTGGTGAGTCATGTGAAATAAGTAAAAAACACATTTTAGTTCCTAGGTGTATTCTTTGAAATTAGAGATGCATATAAGCCAGGAGACTCACCCCCTTTTCAAGATATAAGATGTTCTACTCCTTTATGCAGGGATTTGTAGAAAGAATTGCCTAGCTTAAGGCACTGAATGAAGTAAATAATGCTGGTCATTTTGTTTTTTGGGGGGGTTGCTTTTGTTGTCAGCAGCATTTATTAAAGCACCTAAAATGTGAACAGTAGGGTGATGCAGAGTTGTCCTTCCAAAAGTAAATCAGCCAACCAGCCAAGAAGCACATGTGAATCTTCAGCTCTGTGTGACACAGTAGGAATACGAGTATAAAGCATGAAGTAACCCCTAATCACAAGGAGCTTAAGTTCTGATAAGGAAGAAAAATACATATGTATGTGTCCATATATGTATGTATGTATGTGTGTGTGTGCATATGTACATATATATGTCACATAATATAAAATGAATATAAAATAGTTAAATACCAGGTAGTTTGGGAGGGACAGCACTAGAATTTGGTTGGGGGGGAGGCAGAAATCAAGAAAAATTTCATGTACAACATAGTTCTTGAGCTGTGTCTTAAAAGAAGAGGATGACTCTTAGGAGGTAGAAAGGAAGTACATTCCACATGATGGAGAATGTGACCAAAATAAGAGCATAGAGATAGGTGATGGAATGTCATGAGTGCAGTACGGAGAAGTCCAGCTTGTCTGGATTGCAGAGTATAATCTAATATCCAGTGAATATGGAAAGACAGTTTGGGGATAAGTTCTGAAGGGCTTCAAAGCTAAAAAAGAGTAGTTTATATTTTATCCTAGAGACAATAGGAAGCTACTAGAATTGATTGATTTAGAGAGTGATAGGATTATATCTCAGCTTAAATAAAAGCATTTTGGTAGTTGGAGGCTGCACTAGAGAGGCAAAGAGATCAATTAGAAGTCTGTTGGAATGATTTAGGGAAGAGGTAAAGAACTTAAACTAAGTTATTAGCTGTGTGAATTGAGAGAAAGGGTCATATTCAAAATATGTTATAATAGTAGAACCAGCAAATTTTGGTTTGCTTAAGATTGCTTAGGACATTGAAGAGTTGAAGAAAATGGTGGGATAAAAAAGCCCAGGAGACTGGAAGGTTGGTGGGGCCAAATGAGGAACATGTTTATGGAGCCTCAAACCAAACATGTCAGTTGATACAGTACAAAAATGCTAAGAAGTGCCAAGTAGAGGAGTGAACAGAGCTATCAGGTTGAAATAAAGGGTAGACTGCTTTCTGGGGGTGATTTTTGAGCAAATTTTTAAGGCAGTAGGGGTCACAGATTGGTGAAAAGAAAACTGTTGGACATTTCAGACAGAATGATGAATAAGTCATTTTGGGGGGGATAACAAGTAGGTAAACTCGACTAGGGTGGAAGGTTCATGTAAGGAAACAACAAGAAATAAATTTAGTAAGAGGAGGAAAAGTAACAATTGTTTGAGTCTTAAATGCTAAAGGTACTAGGGAATACTAAAGATTCTTGAGCAGCCAGGTGGCTTCACAAAAGTATTTCAAGAAGATTATTTTAGCAATGGAGCTATGAGAAGGTAGAATGATAAAAGTGAGACTTAGGAGGATGTTGTAGTAGTGCAGACTTGACATAAAGAGGTCTTAGGCTATAGTGGTGGCAGTGGAAATAGAAAGGAGAGCAAATTAGAATCTGCAAAGAAAATATAACCATGACTTGAAGCTGGATTGTGTCTGGCAGGGAAAGAAAATGTTAAAAATGACAAAAAGATGTCAAGCCTGGGCATCAGTCAGGAGAAAGATAATGCTATTGATAGTGAAATTGGGAAGAATGTCTTTTTAATTTCCTCAGTAAAAGAAGATGATTTCAGTTTTCAGAATGTTAAGTTACAGTTGAAACAGTCATGAAATAAAAAAGACAAGAAAAAAAAATGAGGCAGAGCTGAGGGTGATAATAGTAACCCATTTTGAAAGCACTTTTATGATATACTTTCCCCATAACCAGTCTTGGGAGGTAGTAGTTAAATATTTTCTCCCCTTCCCTCCACCTTTTAACAGATGAAGAAACTGAGAGTCATAGAGATTGTGTAGCTTCCTTGTTATTACACAGCCAGAAATGTCAGAGCTGAAATTTGAACTAGGTTTCCTGATTTCAGGTCCAGGGTTCTTTCCAGCACAGCAAAGCACCATTAGTGAGTCATCTACATCTAGAGGTTATAGTTGAAATCATTTGAGCAAATGAACTTTAGAGGGAACATTTCAATCTAGCCCCCTTGAGGATGTGCCAAAAGCAAAGATTAGTTCAAATACACATTCTGCTTTATTGAAATAGAGCCCTTTGTTACTTTGTGCTGTTGTGACATCTTTTTTTAGCAGTAATTCATTCTTTATAATTTTCACTCATAGGTTATGGCATACTGCCTGTCTGGGAAAAGAAAATGAAGTAATGGTATTTGGTGGGAGCAAAGATGATTTACTTTTTATGGATACAGTAAGTAACTTATATCTAAATATTTCCTTTGATTATTTTATTGTTAAAATAAAAAGGCTGCATAGTGAGACATTGAAAATGCAGTATTATAAAACTCTAACTAAAACTGGCAAGAATTCAGATGAAATAATGGCCCCTTTTAATGAATTGCTAACTTTCAAAGCTAATAGCTTTTGTGGAAGCATTTCAAATGAAGCTGTAACAGCAACAGTGAGACAAGTATGATTCATAGCAGGGATCCATGACTGGAACATGGATCTGAGCTCAGAGAACACCTGGTGCTTGTTAAAGCAATACAATAATTATATGAAACGATTCTGGAGGGGCAGCTAGGTGATACAGTGGCTAAAGCACTGGGCGCTAAGTCAGAAGGACCTGAGTTCAAATGTGACCTCAGACACTTGACACTAACTAGCTGTGTGACCCTGGGTAAGTCACTTAACTCCATTGCCTAGCGCCGCCGCCCCCCCCCCAAAAAAAAGAGAGAGAGAGAGAAAGAAAGAAACAATTCTGGGACTTTGTTATGGCTGAGATCATCTAGAGAGTGAACACAAAGGATTGTTGTTATGCTAAGCTCAGGGCAGAGCCTGCTTTGCTGGGCCTTAGCTCTGGAAAAGAGGATGTCTCCTAATATCTTGACATTCCCCTAGTTTCCAGTATGCTACCCCTCACCTATCCCACATTTATTCTCTATATATTTATTCTGTAAATACTGATATATGTAATTCATATGTTTCCACTTTCCCTTCTCTGTTTCATTCTTTGCATTTGTATCCTTAGTTCCTAGCATTGTGCTTGACATAAGAAAAAAACTGATCAATGCTTGTTGGTTGATTGAGAAAACTGAGGTTTTGAGAGGTTTAATGACTTACCCAGGAGTGTCTCAGGCAGCTTGAGAATTCAGTTCTTCTACTTCCAAGTTAAGCATTCTTTCTCTTGTATGAGGCTGCCTCTCACTATTTGACTTTTAACAGTTTTATTTTGGGGGGCAGCTAGGTGGTGCAGTGGATAGAGCACCGGCCCTAAAGTCAGGAGTACCTAAGTTCAAATCTGGCCTCAGACCAAACACTTGACACTTACTAGCTGTGTGACCCTGGGCAGGTCACTTAACCCCAACTGCCTCAAAAAAAACAACAATTTTTTTTTTATTTTGTTTAGGGTCACTGTAATGATTTATTGATCTTTCAAACTCAACCTTATTCACTTCTCAGGTAAGTGAATTTTTATTTCCTCTCAGATTTTTGTTACTGATTTTCCTAGATGAATGAATTGATATTTTTTTTGTTTGCTGGGGAACCATATGCTTCTTTGAGTATTCTGTGAATGGCATGGAAAAATTTTATATCTTCCTCCAGATAAACAAATAGATGCAAACTGTTATATATAGCTGCACCAAGTAGGGAACCATTTAGGGGGAGGAAGAGGTGCTGGAAGGCCTGTGACTGTTGATCATTTTGCATTTATTACCTAAATATCTTGTATTTACTGACTTGTGCAGCTCTTTTGAAGGAAAGAACTACCTCACTTGTGTATTTCTTTCCCAAGTGACAAGCACAGTGCCCAGCACATAGTAGGCATTGTGTTTTGTTGTTTTAAGTCTTTGTTGATTGAATGATATGTTTAAATATTTCATGGGTCTTCTGAATCTAAGAACTTAGGACTGATTTTTTTATAGGTTGTGTCTCGACTGCATTGGTAAAAATGCTGTCATCTTAGAAAGTCAGATAACTTTGTTACCTCCAAAGCTTCTTCAGCAAGTTCTCCAAAAAATAACATTTTGGACTGCCGTTAATCATCGACAAGAACAAAGAGCCAAAACTGAAGAAACAGACAAATATCTTTGAATAATAGTGTTATATACTATATATATATATATATTTAATATGTTTAACATTTTGGAAAAGACTGCTATTAATAGAGTTTTAATTCTGGTCTTCGTGTTAAAAACAGTATTTGGCAGCAAAAAAGCTACTTTTGGAGGGATTCTATAATAATGATAGATGTTAGATGCAAGGATGGCAGATTAATTTAAAATTTTAAGAACAGGCCGCCTTTCATATAAGTTATCATAAAGTTATTCCTCTGGAAAATTAGTAACTAACAGATATTAAGAATTCATCCCATTGTTCATTCTTCATTGAAAATATTATGCACAATAATTCAGGAAAATGATAGATTAGTCTAAGGACTTCTAGAATCCGAAGAAATATATTTACCCTGAAACACTACATATTGTGCTATTGTTACTGCTTTTTGGAGAGAATAAATTCTCTCAAGTAACTTAACAAACAGTCTTAAATTTCTCATTATAAACCTGTGAATATTGCTTATGTTAGCCATGAAAAAAATATAAATATTGAGATGAGTGATATCAAACATTGAACTGTCCTGCTTTTTTAAATACTTATTTTTCTGAGATATCTTTATTACCTTAAGTAGCTGAAGAATAAAGTTGGCTACAATGGATAGTATCCAATGTGCAGTTAATTTTGTGTATATCAACAACATGGTAACATAGGTGATGTAGCAATTAGGTGAGTAGTGTGGGTTCATTAAGAAGTAGGTTATATAGTAACCTGCAGTCTTGTAAAAATATAATTTGCCTCATAAGAATTCTTCCTTTAAAATTTTTATGTTGAATGAAAGGTGATAACTGAGTTACTACTCAATTAAATCCCCCTCCTCAATTCCTTCTAAAATATAGAGGTTATGCTAAAATGGCAGACTAGATTAATATCAATTAGTCCTTTAAAGTATGCTAAAAAATATCTTCTTAGTGTGACCACAGTCTTCCATTTTTATTTGTCTTCATATTCTTGAACTTTATTCTAGAATTGAAATTATTCTCTGAAACCAAGATACTATTTCTGAAATGTTTTAGCATAAAACCATTTGTACACTGAAATATAATTAGCAATGCAAATTGTAATATAGTTTGTTGTATCTCTAATCACTGAAAGTTTTTAGAGATATATTTTATATATAAGTGTATTTGGATGTGTAAAGTTTATATTTTCTACACTGAAATATTTTGTCTATATTTATTGTATAAGATATAGAAAATGACTATTTTTCTATTTTTGGTCAGTATTAACAGTCATTATTAGTGTTAATTAAACAAAGAATTTTTGAGTCCTAATTTTTCATTAGTTTTGTTTTTATATATAGTCTGAATAGCAGATTTTGGATGCAGGATCTTTATAAATGTTTTATATCTTAGAAGAAATTTTTATGACTACATAATATAGTTGAGCCACATTTTCATATTGAATTTGACTAAGAAAATATTTAATAGAAATGAAATTAGTGTTTAAGAGGTTAGGAGTGGGAACCAACTCTGTGGCCTTAGCTTTAATGAAACCTTTTTTAAAACCATCTGATTATAATATATTCTTTGGAAAGTGATTGGAATTCTAATTACTGTTTCTTTGACTTTAAAAAGTTTTTTTTCCATTTATTTTAGTTTATAGTACCTGTTTTCAAAATAAGCATTTTAATATGTATAGGAGAAACTGTTACTTAAAAGATCTTTATTTTAGGTTATTCTTATTTTTTTTTAATTTAAAATGTAGTCCCTTTTCTAGATAGTGCATGTACTATAAGGAGAGAGGTCAGACCAATGCCCTTTTAAGTTGATGACTTGAGACGCAGTGTTGCTCAATAAAGGAGTTCTGTCCTGCAAGCGAAACGTGCCTCATTCTAGAAATGATTAGGAATTTTCTCTCCATTCTCCATCTTCCCTGCCCAAAGAGTCAGGAGGAACTCCAGAAACCTGCGGAGTCAACTTTTAAGTTCTGTTTCTGAAGAAGCTGGTTCCACAAGGCTTAATTTCACCCTCCACTTCTTTGGCTAAAATGGATCCAGAAATTTAGAAAGTTACCCATTGTGGGCATTGATGGCTCCCATAAAGCTACGTAGTAATGTACCCTTAACCTGACACATAGAGAACAGAGAGCTCTTCTTCTTGTGTCCCACAGGCTAGCCTGTCCTCAAAACCATCTCTTCTGGGTACTGTACATTTAGGGTATGGTGTAGTGGTCACATCAGAAAATCGTTAACTCATTTAGATGTTCATATTACTCAGTTAATATTAAAGCTTTTGCTTCCATGACCAGCATACTCTAATAGGAATCTTATAAGTACTGTCTAAAACTTAATATCGTAGTGCTTGCTTCCTCTTTTGCCTTGTTCTCTACCCCTACTTCTCATACTCCCCCTCAAAAGAACTGTATGAAATGATTCAAAGCAAATGTATAGGAATGGAATAGTGGTGCATGGTGTGTTCATGCAGTCTATCAAATGAAGAAGTTGGATTAAAAATATTTTTAGTAAGGGATAAAAGAGGTAGAGACATGCTTCTCCAATTTTTAAAATGTTTTCTGATTTATCTACATGTATTTTATTATTTTGGAATTTCAAGTTTGTTAGGATTTTCTTGACATTTCAAGTACCACTCCAGAGGTGTTATATCTGAATCCTCTACACTAGGAAGCTTAGCAGGATTATCAGTAATATTCTAGATTATTTGTTTCAATGAAAATCTGTATTTTAATCCTCCAATTGAAATAATCTTAGCCAAAGAAATAATATTAATGTTTCTGCATTTTGTTAGACTTAAAATGAACAGTTCACAAGCATAGAAAAGGGTTAGGATTTTTGGTGGTTTTTTTGTGATTTTTCTGTTAAGATAATAAGTGGGAGAAAGTGACATATATAAAAACAAAAGAGTAAATTACAAAGTTGGGGGAAAATGATATACTATAAGAAGTTTTGGAGTCTGCTATGGAGGAAAAACGAAAACTCAAAATGTCCTTAACCCCAAAATAAAGAAACTTAAAATAAGTTTTTGATATTATGCCAGCCATTATCAGAGATTTCTTTAGTACGATGTTTGTTTAATAAATGTGTTTGGAAAATCTGTAATTTCTTTGTTATCAATTATAAATGAAATAAAATGATTTGCTTTGTTAATAGTAACTAATTCAGAGTGGCAAATGCAGTGTTTTTATTAAAATTTAAAAACTAGATGGTTCATAGATTTGGATCTGGAAGGGACGAAGACTTACTCTTTCACATAGTCATAGATGAGGAAATAGAAGCAAAGAGTCATAGTGGTTTACACAGAGTTATACAGGCAGGAAGTAGGAGAGTCAGGTTTCAAATCAGGCTCCTGACACTACAGCGCTATTGCCAAAATGGCCAGCGGGAATCCCTTGAGGCTTCTCTCTTGTGCTGATTGGGAAACTGCAGTCTGGAGGGAACCTAAAGACAGTCAATCAACATCTAAGCTTCTATTATTTGCCAAGCCCATTGCTAGGACTCAGGAATACCAAGACAAAAGGGGGAAAGCCTCTCCTGTTCTCAAAGAGCTTATGTTCTATAGAAGACTTCAGCAAAGAAAACCAGCTTGAGCATTTCCCAAACTTGAAAAGCATCAACATTCTCTACAATGCCAGTAGAAGTTTTTGTTGTTGTTCATATTTTCATCTGCATTTGTAATTTCATTGACACGGGGAACTCCTCAGGGGCCCTGAAAGATTTATGGACTTGCCTAGGATCACATACATAACACATGTGTTAAAGGCATTTGCACCCAAGTCAGCCTGACTCTCAGGCTAATTTTTTTATCAACTGTACCAGTAGGCTCCAAATATTTTTTATTGTACACCCTATTTTGTAAAAAACATTTCAGCATATGCCCCCAATATGTGCATATTCATTTATTCCTTACATGGTTCTAAGTGCCGCTATTTTTTATATTTTGTTTTAACGGCTGTCAGAGCTAAAAAAGACATCTAACAAAGATTTGGATAGGAACTGGATCTGCTATATTTCACTGATATAGGGAAGTTCCTGATGAGGAAACTCTTCCAATGCAGCTTGACACCTCTGAACACTGACAGGTTAAATAACTTGCCAAATATCATACAGGCAGCATGTGTCAGAGGCAGAATTTGAACACAGTCCTTTTTGCCTTGGGGGCTGGCCACTATTCCATGCTGTTCTTCATATTAAACAAAGTTATGTAACTTCAAGTGGGAGAAATACATCATTAGCTATACTTAGTAAACTGTGAGATTTAGTGTCATCTACAAATCATGCAAAGGTTTTTGGTGAAATTTGGCTAGTAAATTTCTTTATTTCAATTAGTATTCAAGCAAAATAATCTGAAGGTATTGCATTTTTCTATTTTAAATAAGAGGTTTTGAAATCCACTGAATCTCTTCATCAGGAAGATTTTTAAACAAGTTAGAAAATCCTGTTTTTAAGTTTTTGAAATGTTCAGATATGAGTTTTTATAGAGAACAGACATATCATTTTTGGCAACAAAATTATATATGGTCTCCGTAGTATGAGTTTTTCATAAAGCTGTTACTTTCTCACTCATTTTTAAAATGTTACTTTTGTCTGATATCCATGTTATTTAGAGAAGTAACACAAATATATACTGAGATCCACTGCACAATGAATAGTCAATAAAAACACTGTTCTCCAAAGAAGAATTGCAAACTCTATTAGACATATGAAAGACCACTCCAAATCACTAATCAGAGAGATTCCAGTCAAAACAACCCTGAGCTTTTACCTCATACCCAGCAAACTGGCAAAAATGACGGAAGATGGGAAGGGTTCATCTTGGAAGGGGTGTGCAAAGTCAGCAAAAAAACTGTCTTGTTGGAGCTGTGAACTAGTCCAACAATTGTAGAAAGCCATTTACACTTCACACAAATAAAGTCAGATCTTACTAATTGGAAAAACATCAGTTGCTCATGGGTAGGCCAACCTAATATAATAAAAATTACAATTACACCTGAGCTAATTTACTTATTCAGTGCCCTACCAATCAAACTATCAAAAAAATTATTTTATAGAGCTAGAAAAAATAAGATTCATTTGGAATAACAAAAGGTCCAGAATATTAAGGGAACTAATGAAAAGAAATGCTAGGGAAGGTGGCCTAGCTGTACCAGATCTTAAATTGTATTATAAAGCAGCAATCATCAAAGCTACTTGGTACTGGCTAAGAAATAGAGAGGTGGCTCTGTTAGGTATGCAAGACACAGTAGTCAATGACTATAGTAATGTACTGTTTGATAAAACCAAAGACCCCAGCGTCTGGGATAAGAACTCACTATTTGACAAAAACCGCTGGGAAAACTGGAAAAGAGGATGGCAGAAACTAGGCATAGACCAAAATCTCAGACCATATACCAAAATAAAGTCAAAATGCGTTCATGATTTAGATATAAAGGCTGAAACTGTAAGCAAACTGGGAGAGCAAAGAATAGTTTGCCTGTCAGATTTATGGAGAACAGAAGAGTTCATGACCAAACAGGAGGTAGAGAACATTATGAAATGCAAAATGGGTAATTTTGATTACATTAAATTGAAAAGTTTTTGCACAAAGACAATGCAACCAAGATTAGGAGGGAAGTAGAAAACTGGGAAAGAATTTTTACAACCAGTATCTCTGATAAGGGCCTCATTTCTAAAATATATAGAGAACTAAGTCAAATTTATAAGAATACAAGTCATTCCCCAGTTGATAAATGGTCAAAGGATATGAACAGGCAGTTCTCAGATGAAGAAATTAAAGCCATCTACAGTCATGGGTTGTGATATGTTAATGTTATGAGATGTTATTGTGTCATAGAAGAACATGAAGGATACGGGGAGGCATGGGAAGATGTGAACTGATGGAAAGCTTTATAAGAACCAGAGCAAATAGCTAACTAGGAAAATATACACAGTGGCAAAAAAGTAAGTGAAAAGAATCACAACACATACAAAATCAAAACTGAGCACTGTGTGGTTATAATAGTCAAGCTTGGCCCCAAAGAGATACGAGAATGCATATCCTTCTCCTCTTTATAAAAGTGCTAACAATGAATGTGGAGCACTGTATATAATGTTGGACCTGATTGTTGTGTTGTTTAGTTTTGCTGAATTGCTTCTCACCCACCATCCCCCAACTCTTTAAAAATTCTTTATTATAAAAGTGTGAGATGTCCTAAAGTGCAGTTTCTCAGGCCTGAGCCCTGAGTTGAGTTTCACCTTTCTCAAAAATCCATAGCACAGGCAGTTCCTGGTCTCTCCCACTTCCTGGTACACGCATACATCTGGTTCCCAAATATGGGTATGTTTGCTTCTATTGGGTATTAGTTGCTGCATTTAGATTGTATGCCTTCAGTACCCAGCCAGTGGGGGAAAGAGGTAAGAGAGTGGGAGGGGGCATGCGTTAGGGCCATAAAAGTTTGCTTCTCCCAGCCAGCTGCGAACTCCCTGGCTGCTGTTGCTTGGGCAGCCACAAGGGTTGTGCCCTTTTTCATGAGGAAAGAATAAAGACCTTTTCTGGTCTTTGATTCAGACTCCAAACTCTTGATTTCAGTGGTCACTGTCCCACACGGAATGAGTTTCCAGATAGATGCAGAGATATATTGGGAAATGTAGGTGATAAAAAACAAAAGCTATCATAAATTTTTTTAAATGTCACTTTTACTTTAAGGAGACAAATTAAATATTTATTTTTCTTAAACTATCTGCTGGAAAGGATACTATTGTGCAGCCACTTTCATGACAGAAAAGGTCAGTAAATTTGGGATTTTTTTATTTTTAATTCAATTTTATTTTGTTTTGCTCTAATTTCCCATCCATTGTGCCCTGCCCATAGAGAAGCCAAGAAAAACACAACTGATTTAATATGTATTTGCAAACTGTCCACTTGAATTAAGGACTACCAAAGTAGCAACAACAAAGTTTCTTTTTAAAAATTTTTTTATTTAAAATTTTTAATTTAATTTTTAATTTTTTTTAAACAAAGTTTCTTTTAATCCAGGCAGGGGGATTGCAATCTGAGGTTACCAGATTACCTTGTACTGGGTTGCCAAAGTGCCCATGAGAGGCAGGGAGGAAATGAGTTTAAATACATTTCAATGAGGAGAGAATCTCTTGGAAGGCACAGCTTCTCAAAGCTGTTACAAAGGTTGTTTTGCATAACAACCAAAAGTCCAAAGAGTAGATTAATGATGCATTGTAGGGGTACTTCTGGTCAGAACAGGCTTTTTTTTCCTTTTCTTTTTTAAACTGACTTTCATGGTCTTCTTTTAACTGGTTTTGATGACCCTCAAGCATTTTGTAGTTCTGGGATCAGGCAAGGTCAGCTCAAAGTCAGCTGCATTCAGCAAAACAAAACAAATTTCCCCTAGCCAGGGGAAATAAAGGAAAAGAAAAAATATACTTTGGGTCAGTCTTCCCAGCCTCTGGAGGCAGTTTACCGTTTAGCTTCAGGAAAGGGGACGCATGTCTGCCTGCCCCTCCTCTTCCATTTTCCTCCCCCACTCCATCCCTCCCCTCCTTTATTACTCTCCCTGCTCCATAACCCTCCTTCCCCTCACCTGATCAATGCAAGTGCCTTTGTGGGAGTATGTGAGAGAGGAAAAAAATATCCATCCCAGTTGATGGATGCATTTGGAAAACAAGTGTAACATGTAACAACTGGGGGCCTCTCACTTTCAGGAAGGGGAAGAAAAAAATGTCAGCACAACTATTTAACACTAAGAGGATAAGATGTTTGTAGTTGGAGACACATACTCTGAGAACATGCCAGTCACGACAGCCTTTCTCTCTGTGGAAACACACCTAGTCTCAGATCATGCAGAGGACAAGATGCTTGTTCTCACTTGGTCTGCATTCTGAGTCTATCAGCTCTCTATATTTCAATATCAGTCCTTTGGATTTGTGGCTGGTCATTGTGCTAATCAGAGTTCCCAAGTTTTTCAACATTGTTTATCGATACAGTACTGTTGTTATTGAGTAAACTGTTGTGCTGGTTCTGTTCACTTCACTTTGAAATAGTTCATACAAGCTTTCCCAGGCTTTTCTGAAAGCATCCCCGTTATTACAGCACAATAGTGTTCCATCACCTTCATGTACTATGACTTGTCCCCCACTTTATGGGCATACTGTCAGTTTTCAATTCTTTGCCACCATGAAAAAAGTTGTTATCAATTTTTTTGTAGTTATGCTTCCTTTTCCTCTGATCTCTTTGGAGTATAGACCTAGTAGCAGTATTGCTGGATCAAAGGGTATGTACAGTTTAATAGTTTTTTGGACATAGTTTCAAATTGGATTAGTTGACATCTCCTCAGTGCATTGAAATGCATGTTTTCCCACAACATTTTTCCTTTTCTGTTAACTTTGCTATTCTGATGGGTGTGACATGGTACCTCAGAATTGTTTTAATTTGCATTTCTCTAATTATTAGTGATTTAGAACATTTTTTCACATGGCTATTGATAACTTGTATTTTTTTCTTCTGAAAACTGCCTAATCATATCCTTTGACCATTTGTCAATTGGGGAATGGCTTATTCTTGTAAATTTGGCTTAGTTCCCCTATGTGTTTTAGAAATGGAACTTTTATCAGAGAAACTTTGTGAAAAGCTTCCCCTGTCCCCACTTCCTGCTTCTCTTTGATTTTTAGCTGCATTGGTTTTGTTTGTGCAAAACTTTTTTAATGTTATGTAATCAAAATTAACCATTTTACTTCCTGTGAAGCCTTCTTGTTTGTTCATGAACTCTTCCCTATCCATAGATCTCACAGGTAATTTCTTTCCTGCACCTCTAATTTGCTTATGAGTTCACCCTTTGTTTAAATCATGCAACCCTTTGCAGGTTATCTTTCTATGGGGTAAGAGACGTTGGTCTTTACCTAGTTTCTTTCAGACTTTCCAGTTTTCCCAGCAGTTTTTGTCAAATAGTGTGTTCTTGCCCCAATAGCTGGGAACTCTGGGTTTATCAAATGTTGGGTTATTGCATTCATTTATTTGTTTCTCTCTACTGTGTACCTGATCTGTCCTGCTAATCAATTACCCTGTTTCTTGCCAAATAACATTATTTTGATGATTACAGCTTTATAGTATAGTTTGACATTTGGTACGAGGTGTTCTTTCTTATTTAAAAAAAGAATACAAAAAACCAAAACCCAAAAAACAAAAAAAGAGGGGCAGCTAAGTGGTGTAGTGAATAGAGCATTGGCCCTGGAGTCAGAAGGACCTGAGTTCAAATTTGGCCTCAGACCCTTGATACTTACTAGCTTTGTGACCCTGGGCAAGTCACTTAACCCCAGTTGCCTAGCCAAAAACAAAACAAACAAACAAAAAAATATTTCCCTTGGAATTCTTGACCTTTTGATTCTCCAAATAAATTAAATTTTTTTCTAGTTCTATAAATTATTTTTTTTCTAGTTCTATAAAGTAATCTTTTTTGTAGTTTGATAAGGCACTAGAATAAGTAAATTAATTTAGGTAGTATTGTTTTTATTATATTGGCTTTACCTCCTCATGTACAACAAATATTTCTTCAGGTATTTAGATCTGACTTTGTGTGAAGTGTTTTGTAATTGTGTTTATATAGTTCCCGTGTGTGTCTGTCCTGCTGGATTTGTTGGTAATATAAAGAAAGGTTGATGTTTTTTGTGGGTTTATTTTATATCCTGCAATTTTGCTGTAATTGTTAGTTGGGTTGATTAGTTTTTTAGTTCTCTAAGTATACAGAAAGTGATACTGCAGAAAGTGATGGTTTTATTTCTTCTTGCCTCTGCTTAATCATTCAATTTCTTTTTCTTGTTTTATTGATATAGCTAGCATTCCTACTCTGTTGAATATTATAGTGATAATAGATAGCCTTGTTTTTTCCTTGATCTTATTTGAAAGGCTTCAAGTTTAATATCTGTACAGATAATACTTGTTCTTGGTTTAAATGGATACAACTTATCATTTTAAGGAAAGCTCCATTTATTCCTATACATTCTAATGCTTTCAAAGGAATGGGTGATGTATTTTGTCAGAAGCTTTTTTTCTCCATCTATTGAAATAATCACAATTTTTGTTGTTTTGTTATTTATGCTGTCAATCATGTTTATAGTTTTTTTTTTAACTTTGAACCAGCCTTGTCTTCCTGATATAAATTTAGCCCAGTTATAGTGTATTTTTGTGATGTATTGCTCTAGTCTCCTTGCTAATATTTTATTTAAAATTTTTTACCTAGATGTCCATTAGGGATATTGGCATATGGTTTTCTTAATGTTTTGATTATGCATGGTTTAGGTATCAAGACCAAATTTGTGTGATAGAAAAGAATTTGGTATGACACATTCTTCACCTTTTTCCCCCCAATTTATGAAATTTTTGAATTGTCCTTTAAATGTTTGTTATAATTTGCTTGTAAATATCTGTTACATCCTGGGTCTTTTTTCTTTGGGAATTTGCTTAGGGCTTGTTCAATTTCTTTTTCTAAGATAAGGTTATATAAATACTCTATTAACTGTTCTGTTAACCTGGGCAATTTATATTTTTGTAAATATTCATCCATGTTATTAAGATTGTCAGCTTTATCAGCATATAGTAAAGCAAAATAGCTCCTAATGATTGTTTTTATTTCTTCTTTATTGATTATGAACACACCTTTTTCATTTATATATTAGTAACTTAGTTTTTTAAAAAAATCAGATTAGCTAGTGGCTTATTTCATTTTTAAAAAGTTCTTAGTTTTATTATTAATTCAGAGTTTTGTTTGAAGAGGTCCAGAGGTTTTGGGGTTCTGGGAACCCCAAGATCATGGTACTGGGCCCTGTCTGAAAGAATTCAGCTCAAATCTTCTTCTAGCCAGAGGAAAAGTTTTATTAGTAATAAATCACATAGGCCAGGTAACACTCGTAAGGACGAGTGGGCATGAGAAAGTCTCAGCCTTTTGGGCATGAGATTCTCAGCCCCTAATGAGGGCCAGGGTAGATTTTATATACTTTGGGTGACCAGGGAAGGGTCTGGGAAAATGGTCTGGGTGAGAATTCCCAGACATTGGAATGTCTAAGAGATTGAATAGACAATGGGAATAGATAATGAAGGAACTGAAAGGGATCTGAATGAGATCAAAAAGGTGGGGCCAGGGCTTTCAAAGGGAGATGAGGGGCTGGGGCGTGTAGACAGATGGGAGCCAGATTCCCTTTGGGGCAAGGGGTGAAGACCTTGGCTTGGGCCACACCCCATCAGTTTTATTTGCTTTCAGTTTTGTTAATCTCTCATTTTGATTTTCAGGATTTCTATTTTGGCATTTAATTGAGGTTTTAAAATTTGTTGGTTTTCTAATTTTTTAAGTTGTATGCTCAATTTGTTGATATGTTCCCTTTTTATTGATGAAAGAGTTTAGAAGTGTCATTATCTTTAATGAAGTTATTGTTTCTATGGGTTTTTTTTCCCCCTTTGGCCCATTCTTTAGGATTAAGTTAGTTTAAAATTTTCAATCTGTGTGGGACAGCAACCCTAACCCAAATTAAACTCAGAGATTTCTCAAGGTGGAAAGCAAAGGTTACCTTTATTACAGTCTTGAAAGATGGCTGTCTGCTCCTTCCATACACGTGAGAGAGAGAGAGAGAGAGAGAGAGGAGAGAGAGAGAGAGACCTAGTAACAGGGGCCGCCTTATAAAAGCAAATATCTGCCCACCACAAAAAGTCTCCACCCACTATAAACAGTCACCACCACTATCCTTACCCTTAACTGGGGGTGGGGCTTACATTCCAGGCCCAAAATTCAAAGACAAGGAAAGAGGCAGGAAGCCAAGGGCAAACGGCTCAGGTTGGGGGTGGGGCAGGGCTTATTCTTTCTGTTACGTGCTTAAAAAGGGTCTGAGGGGGGAGGATTTTGAAAATAATAAAAAAAAATTATTGACCTTTTGAGGAGGCTTCACCTCTGAGAGTTCATCTCTCACAATTTCCCCTTCTCATTTCTTACAATTTGAAGCCTCCTCACAAATATTACACCTTTCAGATACAAAGGCCCAAAAATAATGATAAACTGTGCATTTAAAGCTTCAGAAGTCTCTTCTCATACCGCTGTCTGACACTCTGGGCATCATCTGGTGAAAGTCTTCTTGTCTAAGTGCTGTTCAAGCAGTGTCCAGCAGACTCTCACTTCCCTCCTGCAGAGATTCTCCTTCTTGTATCCACTATCCTACAAGATTGATCTCAACACAATTTTAAATTACCTTGCCAATAACCAGGGCAAATAATGAAAATTAACTCAACCCCTATGTCCTTACCATTACCAGATCAAAATTGGAACTTTGTCCAATTGTCATGTTTCAGGATGCTCAAATTTAAAAGATCAGAACCTAGTC